ATCTCACTCATATGTGGAATATAAACCAACACATGGACAGAGAAAACTGGACTGTGGTTACCAGGGCAGTGGGGGTGGGGGGTGGGCACAAGGGGTGAAGGGAGTCATATATGTGGTGATGGACAAACAAAAATGTACAACCCAAAATTTCACAATGTTAGAAACCATTAAAACATCAATTAAAAAAATAAGTAAAAAAAAATATTGCTGGGCAGAAAGCTAGTCATAAATAAAGGCATGGCCACAGCTGTGGAGAGCCAAGCCTGGCACAAAAAAAAAAAAAAAAAAACAGGAAACAGGAAAAATAAAGCTGGGTAGGAGGGCTAGGAAGTGTGGAGATTGCTGCTTCAAATGTGGTGTGTCCAAAGACCCCACTGAGGTGACATTTGAGCAGGGACCTGGGAGGTGAGGAAGCAAGCTATGCCAGTATTGAAGGGAAAAGGGTTCCAGGTCAAAGGAACACAAGTGCAAGGGCCCTGAGGTAGGAGTGTGCTGGGGCTGTTCAAGGAATGAGCAAGGAGCAAGTGGCTGGAGCTGAATGAGGAAGGAGAGACAGAGAAGTTGCAGGTGCCAGATCATGCCAGGCCTTGCAGGCCAATGTGAGGACACTGACTTTTACTTTGCGTGAGATGGAAAGATAGTGGAGAGATTAAGGCAGAGGGATGACAGGATATGACGTATATTCCAGTGTCTGAATTGAGAACAGACTGTACGGGGACAATGACAAAAGCAGAGAGACCAGTTAAAAGACTATTGCAATAATCCAGCCTAGAGATTATGGTGGCTTGGACTAGTGTGATAACAGCAAAGAGGTGAAAAGTGGCCACACTCTAGATGAGTTCTGAAAGTGGTGCTGACCAAACTTGATGATAGATTGGATAATGAGGTGAGAGAGGAAGAAAGCCACCAACGATGCTCCAAGGGTTTTGGCTTGAGCGACTGAGGATGGAAATGCCATTTGCTAAAATGGAGACGATGGCAGGAGGGCGAGTTAGCGGGGGACAATCAAACATGTTAAGTGCGAATTCCCTGTAAGCATCCAAGTAAACACGTTGTGTGGGCAAGTGGATGTGTGTCTGGAGCTCAGGGGAGAAGCCTTGGCTGGGTGTAGAGATGGGGGAGTCAGCATTTAGATGATGTTTAAAGTCATGTGAGATCACCTAAGGAATGAGTGTAGATGGAGACAAGAAGAGTCCTGGCATGTTCTATGCTTAGAGGTCAGAAAGATGAAGAGGACCCAGTAGGAGAGGGTACAAAGAGACAACCAGAACAGGAGGAGCCCAGCCCAGTGTGGTGTCCTGGAAGCTAAGTGAAGAAAGTGTATCAAAAAGGAGAGAGTGACCAACTGTGCAAATGCTGCTGATGAGTCAAAGAAGATGAGAACTAGAAATGACCATTGGATTTAGCAAGACGAAGGTCTGGGTGACATCTTACCAGAGAGGGGGAAGAAAGTAGGATAGGCAGAAGAATGGACCCCTCAAGGATATCCATCTTCTAATCCCTGGAACCTGTAAATGCTACCTTACATGGCTAAAGGGACTTGCAGATGTAATTAATGTTAAAGACCTTGAGATGCGAAGATTATCCTGGATTACCTGGTAGAGCCAATCTAATCTCATGAGTCCTTAAAAGGGGAAGAGGGAGGCAGAAGAGTGGGCCAGAGACAAGAGACAGAAGAAGGAGGACAGACTGGAAGCATGAAAGGGTCTCAAACCATCTTTGCTGGCTGTGAAGATGGAGGGAGGGGGCCATGAGTCAAGGGATGCTGCAGCCTCCGGAAGTTTGGACTAGCCCTCAGCTGACAGTCAGCAAGAAAATGGGGACATAGGTCCTGTAACTGCAAGAAGACGAATTCTGCGAACACTTGAAAGAGCAGGAAATGAATTCTCCCCTAGAGACTCCAGGAAGGGGCACAGCCCTGCCGACACCTGAAGTTAGCCCAAGACGTGCGTCAGACTTCTGACATACAGAACTGTAAAATAATTGATTTTTGTTGTTTAAGCTTCTGAATTTTTGGTAATTTGTTATGGCAGCAATAGAAAACTCATGCAGAGGGCCTGACTGGCGGGAATTCAAGGTAAAATAAGTGGAGAGAAATTGTGCTTTTGAGGATTTTTTGATGGCAGCACAGAAATGCGAAGGAAATCGGAGAGTTCACGATAGGATTTTCTTTCTGGAAGAAATTACAGCATATTTGTACATTGATGAGAACGATCTAGTAGAAAGTGAAACTTGATGATGCTTCTAGAGAGGAAATAACCGTGTCGGTGGAGGTGTTGGCTCTGGACTGCAGCACAAAACCTATCCCGAGAACCAGGAGAGAAAGCCGACTGCGTGAGGACAGCTGGCTCGGTGAGCAGACGTGACAGTGGGAAATGAACGTACGTTCTCTCCTGTGATAGCTCTATCTTCTCAATAAAATAGGAGAGAGGCCTCCGCTGGAGAGAGAGGAATGGGGAAGTGCTGGAGGCTTGAAAAGAGAGAAGGTGTGAAATAAAGGCCTAAGCCAAGTGTTTCAAGGAATTCTTCACATTTTGTGGTGATCCATCTCGCCATGTCAAAACAAAGAGAAAAAACCCCAAAAGGATGTTCAACAGCATCCAGTATAAATCATCTTCAATCCAGACATAAGAAGGAATATAAAAATTTGAAGATGAAAAGTACAAAGATGAGAAAATGATAGAGGAAAATGACACAGTAAAATCCTTCATTCTCAGTTGAAAGTGAGCATTTCATTTAGCATCACCAAGGAGCAGAAGAAACTATGTAGCAGATGACAGTGCTACTATGTCAAACCTTTACGTTTTATCTAATGACATTTTCAATCTAACAGCCCAGAGGTTCATTCTGTGAACATGATTGATACTCAGCTTCAGTTTCTACTTAGGCCTAATAATAATTTTAATGCTCAGCCATTTTGTCCAAAATAAGTATTCAGTGCATCCCTGAACAGAGCTTATACCATTACCTCTGATGACACAAAGTTCAAATTAGACTAAGTGAATTACAGAGTAATAGCCATGGAAGGACACTCCAGTTCATATTACAGATGAGGAAACTTAGTCCAGGGAAGTTGCAATGCAGCTCTACTAACACAGTAGGTAAATAACAGGCAGAGGGCAGAACTAAGAACCCCAGATGTCCAGGCCAATGGCTGCCCCACTACTTTTCACCTGCACTGATACTCAAGTTTTTTCTGCTAAAAAGCCATCTTAATTGTCTCTGTAATGACAACAGGTGCCACAGTCCCCAAAGCAGCCCTCAAGACCCACTGTTATTCACACCTATAGACATATGGCAATTAATTCCCTTTCTTGTCCATTTGATGTCCACTGAGGTCATTTGAACTTTGCCTCTATATGACTGAAGGCAAATGAAGCAAAGTCTGTTTCCATGACAAACCTAAATCCCATGTGAAGACAGGTGTGTAAGGCTAAAAATACTGAATTTCAAAGACTTGAGTATAAAAGAGCTTATAAACCCTAAAGAGACGTTAAGCAAAAATCCCCTGAGCAACTCCTGAGAATAAAAATGTCAGAGGGGCGGGAGGAGAGAGGTTGTGGAACCACAGAATCTTTCCATCACCTGTCTGTGAGTGGAGTTATGACAAGCCTGTCAGTGCAGCCTAAAAATTCATTCTGGTATACGAAAGCCACATCTGTGATGCGAATCATCATCTTGTCAGAATCTTCATTAAAATAAAATCGGCACTGTTTCAGCCATTCAAAGTCTGTAGGGCTCTTGATATGCATGTGACACTGAAATGCAAAAGGTACATGCTAAAACTGAGATGAGAACCATTTATTAAATATGCATATTAGCATTCACATAGATCGTAATGCAAAGCAAATGGAACTCAAAGACAACTCAACTAGTTTAGAAATGTCGACTACATCGCCATCCAACCCATTCATTTATTGATCAGCAAAAAAGATACTTTAGAAGATACGGGAATGTGAAAATTCAAGAGAAACCTCTAATTGTGCCCCCTAATTTAAACAGCATGATATGTTTTAATAGTAAGATATTCTGTTCTTAAAATTCACCTTTAAATGCCCAATACCATAGTCCTAACCATGAAATACAGTCTACAAAAAACATGTTTTGGCATACAAAGACAGAACTAAACAACCTCATTAGGAAAAAGGCATCTCTTATGATTATAACAAAATACACCGTTGGGTTTTTTTAAATCCATTAATTATTTTTCCTAGGATTTGCAGAGGGCCAAAATTTCTAACATCTAAATGGCAGGCTATTGCCCAGCAATGCTTTTGTCTGAGTTTTTTTAACCAAAATTTTAAGCCACTTGAATCGTTTTTCTTTGACAAATAAGAAATCTAAAATTACCCTGAGCCCTTTATTTCTCAGAAAGGCAAATAGTGGGCTTAACTATTAAGAGAGGAGATTAGCACACAACAGCTTGGATGTGCTGCCTTCATTTCCATTACATCAGAACCAATCTTTCATCTTTGTTACGTAATGGGGTGAGACATGATCCAGAAAATTATTATGAAAATAAGAGCTTTTTGCTTCTTATCTAATGTGGTATTTTATAGTAAAGGACAAATTTCATTTCTTTTCACATTTCTCCTTTTTTATAACTATTAAATTCTTTTCCACCCTGTTTTTTTCAAAAGGCAAAAATCTGCATGACACCTGAATGTCACCAACTATATTAGGAAAGACCATTTACAATCAATGACATAAAATGTAGCAAAACTTGTTAAAGATGTGATTTATCAAAAGCCTTAAAGGGAGTACTCAGCAGCTCTAGTAGCAATGTTACTTATTATTTCCGTAGCAAGAAACTGGTAATCTTCAATTAATAACTAAAAGGAGCACAAGACAAATGACAGCTTTTCAGGATGCTACATGGCATTTTAGCATTAAAAATCATCAAATAAAGAATTTTAAAATAAAGCCTAATTGCCTTAATAACATCTTAGCAGAAATCACGGGAATATGGCTGAAATTTCAGCTGAAGACTGAAAATAAAATCTGACGACCAAGCTCTCATCATGAAGATGACTCTGCCTGAATTTAACCTTTTCTTTGAATTCATTCAAACTAATTCTGGTGGGTAAATACAGACAGTGTCTTGTGTTTGCTTTTCTGTATATGCCACAGCATTTAGAAAGCATTTACCAGGTCATCGAAGATATCCCTTTGGTGCACATGAATAGTAATCAAAGTCTCATATTTAACTCGTTCCATGGAACTCAGATCCTTTGTTGTGATGTCTATCAAGGTATTCAGTAGCTCCAGGAAAGATTGATTGGTTTTCTGCATGATTTTTTTATCAAACTTGGCATTTCGAAGGGCTTCTTCTGAATCCCGTGTCCATATCATTTGAATTCCTAATAATCCCACCTTATGGAAATAAAAAAGGCTTATGAGTGTTTATGGCATACAAATACATTTAAATAGAAATTACAATATAGTGAATAGTTGTGATTATTAAGCAAATTAAAGTCATCCTTGATCATATCAACTTGCTATGTTGCTTCAAAATCTATGGAACCTCTACTCATATTATTTACCTGACAACTAAATATGTGCAGCCTCATGAGGTGTCTACAATTTTTTTCTTGTAATTTTAAGTCATTTATTGTTTAAGTCATATTTCTCCCTAGACAGATTGTAAGTTACTGGCAGGGAAAAAGATGTTTAAACCTGCTTTCCCTAAATTAAGATAGGGTTTACACATGTAGATACTCACAAAATCTTTATTGACCACAATGACTAAGAAAACACCATTTTCTGTATTCTAATGCTGAAATACATTTCTCATTTTTCTGGTAAAGCATATACTCAGTACATTTTTATGATTTATGTACTAAAGACATTCAGTAGGAAAAAAACTTTTAAGTTAAATAAAATATACCAAATACCTCTACAACACAAATACATATATATATACATATGTATGTGTGTGTGTATATGTAACCAAATAATCTATAGTTGAAATCTCTAAGTTTATCTATATTTACCAAATCCTTATAAAAATCTTAACATTGGTCCAGAGTTAAATTGTAGCCAGTTGTGTAGTTTACAATAGACAATGTATGAGATCTAAAATGACTATTCTGTAAAAAGTACTTTCCAATTTCATTGCACTGACCTGAGCAGGAAAGGAAGAAAGAAATTCAATCAGTTGGAAACCTGTTTCTTGAATACTTGCAGCTGCCTGGCGAATCACAAGATGTAAGGAGGACTGAGATTCCTCCAAGAGAGAATTAAGCCAAACTTCCACATTGCCCTCTGCCATCACAGGTTTATTCAATTCAATCGTTTCACCCTCTCGGGAGGAAATTGACAGAATGCGATCATAGATCTGTTAGAAGCCAAAAAAAAGCTATATTCATATAAAGAATGAATCCTCCATTGCCCTCTTGTCAATGTTATCCTTCCCATAGAAAGTTAAGCTACAGATTATAAAATAAAAGGCAAAATATGATATAAAATCAATTTCAAAGCAATAAAAATAAGCTATCCATGAAATCAAAAAGAGAACACTAAATCAATTCCAAATAGTCTATACCTGAGAGGGAAAATTTGTTTTCTAAGAGAAATAGTCAATACAAACGTGACGATCAAAAAATCACTAAAGTTTCTCCTAACGAAATGGGATTCTCTAAGATCCTGTCATCCACACAAGCTTATCAAGTTGACATCAGCAATGACCTGGCCAATATGATCAAGGCAAACACCTTACAAGGTCATTCCAATTCTATACTAAGCAGTGTGCTCTTTACAGGAACTCTTGGTTGCGTGTAATGTTTTCTAATTCAAACCCAGCTCCAAATCTGGTCATTTCACTTCAGTTTCCACGCAGTATGGCATAATGAGAACAGCATGGTATCTGAAGTTCTAAAAGATGGGCTCAAATGAGGCTCTGCCATTCACTGACCACGTTGGAGGACACATCTCTGAAACTAAATTTCTTACCTATAATTAGTCATTAAAAATCATGCTTATTTACTTCCCTACCCACCTCACACGGTGTTCATGCCCATTAAACAAAATAATGCAAACTATAAAGTAAATACAAATGTTTGTTGTTGTTTCTGTTCTTTCGTAAGCGGAATATTGTTCCCTTGGGCTCAGATTTAGTACTGTATTAATGAAATCCCCCTTAGTTGTAGATAGAAGTAGTCTACCAAGAAGCAAATTAATTCTAAGTTTCATGGCCCCTCACTTGCACAGATCCTTCTAGGTCCTGAATATAAATTTGTATTTATAATTTTATAAGATTTAGGACACAGAAAATCAGGATCTGCCCCTGGTTGTAGAAACCTTATGGCAAGAACAACAACAACAACAACAAAAAGCAATGCTATTTTAAGAAGTAATTGCTATGAACAGAGTCTAAAAATGAGGAAGTTTAAATTATCTTCAATGCACAATGAGACAGTGAGAAGCCTCACTCTAGCACTGTGAAGTCCTGGTGCTATAGCAGAAGGATTTGAGCAAAACATCAGGAAGAACTTCCTGGGTAATTTAATCCCCTCTTTCAACCCACACATCTAGTAGATCTACAGGAAACACTGATTTTAAACCATTAAAATCCATACTGTCTTCCCTTCATCAAGGCTTCATTGTAGCAGCTCAGCCTTTTCCGTCCCGAGTTGGCAATCACTTCTGACACTAGTTTCCTTGCCCCCTTCTAGTCCACCTCCTACACTGAGCCAGAGAATCTTTCTGAAACACAAATCAGGTCACTGCCCTGCTGGAAAACCTCCCAGGCCTTTTGTCCCATTCACGGTGAAGTGGAATTCCATAGTATGATACACTTGGCCTTTTGGAATCTGGTCCATGCCTCCTTCTCCCCTTTCTCCCTTTGCTCATCACTCCCTGTTGTGGGTTAAAATGTGGACCCCAAAAATCTATGTTGAAGTCCTAAGCCCTGGTACCAGTGAATATGCTTATTTGGAAATAGGGTCTTTGCAGATCTTATCAAGTTAAGAGGAGGTCATACTGGATGAGGGTGGACCCTAATCCGATGATTGGTGTCCTTATAAGAAGAAGGAAATTTAGACACAGAGACACAGACACATAAGGAGAATTTCACGTGAAGACAAAGAGAGATTGAAGTGATGTGTCTACAAGCCAAGGAACACCAAGGATTGCCAAGTGCCACCAGAAACCAGGAGAGAGGCGTGGAACAGATTCTTCCTCAGAGAAGAACACCTTAGTTCTTCCTGAACACCTTAGTTCAGACTTCTAGCCTCCAGAACTGTGAAAGAATAAATTTCTGTTGTTTTCACCCAGGGTAGCCCTAGGAAACCAATACATTCCCGCACATATCCACACTTCTGACACCCTGGGCTGCCCACACCTCCAGGCCCTTGCCCTTGTCCTTCCTTCCAACCAGACCACGTATCTCTTCTCTACCTGCCTGGTTATGTTCCACTCACCTTCAAAAAAATAAGTTCAGACACCACATTCTCCTTCAGGGAGCCTTCTCTTACACCCCTTACACCCAGGTTAGGGCTCCCTGATGGGTATTCCCATGCTCCTTGTGCCTAATACAAGCATGGCAAGTCAACAATTATCGACAGTTTATTTGCCAAATTTCTCTTGAATGCTGTGCTGCATAAAAACGACTTTAGTTTGATTATGATATATTCTTCCTTGGAACCCCAAGACTAGCATCATGCCTGGCACATAGCAAGGGGCTTGAACTTAAATGACTGTCTTTTAATTGCTTACAATGGAATAGCTCTCCCACTGCACTAATTGCACTCTATAGACTCCACAAGAGCATGAGTTCCATGAGGATGGTATATTCCCCTTGTTAAGCATGGCACCTGGCACATGGCAGTTGCTCAACAAATGCAAATTGCATGCTAGGATGAATAAATGAATGATACTGAGGGTTTGTATGAAGAACCAGAGGGGGACTGGATACATATCAAACTGGAAGGGTCACTTTCCTAGCGAATTTTGGGTGAAGGGATGGATTAGACAATATCTTCTGGCAGCTGTGCAAATGGAGTCTTCCTCCCATTGAATGACGTTTTGGGTCCCATACAACTCCAGGATTCTAGAAACTTCTTGAGAGTGTTAAAAAAAAAAAAGTTTCAATCATGCATGATGGAAAACAGGGAAGACCATCATGCCAAAAACTTCTGAAGCCTGACAAAAACAATCAAATCACTGCGGCAATTCTGTTGAGTCAAGGCACAATTTTACGAGCAATCTTTGTTTTGGTTGGTTTCTATGTTTTGTTGAATTTCTAAACAGTTAACTTGGCATGTAAAACCATGAATGCTACATATGTGCATTCCTAATCATATTTAAACTATTTGTTATTTAAATCTACACTTTTGATATTAAGAAATCACATAGTTCTGAAGGCAAATTGGGCCCAAAAGTTTGATTTTCATCACTGGCTGAGAGTTAATGGACAGGAAAGTAATCCTTTGTAAACACAATATGAGAGAGCTATTTAATAAAGACAGCTGAGATTCTAAGATATGGTCACTGCTGGCCAGCAATTAGAATCAGGCAAACCTTCTCGTGGAACTTGACAGATTTAATGTTGTCAAACACATTCAGCAAATGGGCTTGTATAGTGTGCGCATCTGATGCCTGCCCCAGAATCTCCAGGAGGGCAGGGTCCGAGACGAAGAAGAACCGTGGAAAGCAAAGGCGCTTTTTCTCCAAGTATCTAAGGAAGGAAAAAGATAAACTTAACAAAAACGCAAAACAGGCCTTTTTAGAAATCAATTTGGATGGTAAAAGGGGGAAAGATTTTGAGACAATCTGATTTTCCCATGCACTGTTCAATGTTTTTGTTTTGTTACTAATTTTACCAAGTGCATTCCATTTCCAGATAGGGAAACAATTTTTTTCCCAGAAGTAATGAGAGAATTTTTCACAAGTGTAACGTATATATTTGCCATGTATACATCTGACTTAATCTGGAAAAACTTGTCTTTTCTTTGTAGAGAATAAAAAAATACAGGGATTTTTTTTTGTTTTATTTGGTTCGCAAACACGATGCTGTGTCAGCTAATGGCTGTGTCTCATTCTTGGAATTCTATCTTAAAAGAATCCAATGAATCCAGAAACCAAAGCGGAAGCAAAATCCAGCTATGAATGAGCCATACAAAAGGACCCTAGCACTGTTCTCTGCCTCCAGGAGCAACCAAAACCCAGTGAGTGTTCCTATCATCACCTTGCTCTCAATTGCACATTTGTTTCTTTATTTCCTTTATTTTATGGTGATTCCTTATGCGATGGATGTTTTTTTCTGTTATTCTCATAACTATACCTCTGTATCTTCATTTTCTAGCACATTTGGTTTAATTAATGCAGCTTAAATTGCAGTTTCTTTTTGAAATCTTATCAGAAATCCTTTCTAAACTTTGTCTTTTTTTTTAAATTTCTACTCCTTCCTGTCATTTGTATTATTTATTTGTTCCCGGTGGAAAATTATGGGGGAAATATTTTTAGTTCATAGAAGTAGAATTCCCTTTGTAGGGAAATAGAGTGTTTACTAAAGGACTACATAGATCGGAAGCTGAAGGCAGGTGGCAATCTGCGAGGGCAGTCATGGGGAACTCTGGACGGTCCGTACCCAGTCCACTGCTGGACTTTTGTTGTGTGGGATGTCCAGGATGAGGGCAAGAGTGAAATTCCTTTTTTCAGAGGTTGAACGAGGCAAAGCAAGGAAGGAGATAGAAGGAGAGGCTCATGGTAAGCGAGAAACTTGGGGAGGAAATGGGCTTGTCTAAAGTGATGGTAATGGGTGAGCCTTGCTTGATGAGCTTTTCTCTCCTTCTCTCACAGGATACTCAGTAAAACAGACGTGACAAGCTATCATTGTGGCAACTAGGTTTATTCACTTTGAGCCTGTGAAAAACCACAAAGTCGGGTCTCAGAAAGGGGGCAGGATAAGAGCAGAGGCTGCCCAAAGAGTCTCTTTTCTTACATCTCTCTGCATTTTCTTAAAGTCTTACTTTTATGTTCATAAAAACTTTGTTTGTTTTAGCTTTTTACTTTCCTTACTTTAAATATGCTACTTTGTTTTAAATATACCAACCCATCTTACTTGTATAACTTTGATTTTTATTCTTTTTTTTTTCTTTTCTGTGAGGAAGATCAGCCCTGAGCTAACATCCATGCTGATCTTCCTCCAATTTATGTGGGACGCGGCCTCAGCATGGCCTGACAAGCAGTGCGTCGGTGCGCGCCCAGGATCAGAACCAGGGCCGCCAGCAGCGGAGCGCGTGCACACTTAACCCCTACCCCACGGGGCCAGCCCCGATTTTTATACTCTATTGAGAATAATTCCCATCCCTTACTTGTTGCCCTCTTCACAGTAGCCTGGTCTGATTCTGGTGAGAAACCAGGTAAGGTTTTCTATGCAGTTGGACCAGGATGGAAGAACATGTGGGATGTGACAACCAAACCTCAGTGAGGGAGTAGAGAAGACAATTTATTCTTGATCTGTATGAAGACCCTTCCTATCAATGCAGATCCTGATCAGCTGTGGGGTGTTGTTTTTGTGTAAGCATTAGTACTCATGCGCTTATTCCAGTACTCAAGGGCTTACACATTTTGGCTTATAACCTCTTCTTTGTAACAGAATCAAAAGCCAAGGAAAGCTCAATAAAAGCTCTGAATAATTTCAGAGTAGACTTTTTCTCTTAGGAGTTATAAAATAATGCCAAAACGTCAAATGATATAGTAGACTATGTCCATGATAAAAAGACAAATGCAAGAGAAAAGAGAAAAATTGTGTGTGTGTGTGTGTGTCTACCCATGGTGGCAGGTGGAAGAGAAGGACGGGAAAGAAAAGTAACAAAGCCAGCAGTAGGTAGACCATTGGTGTGATTCCTCAGCAAGTTTCTCAGCGATAACTGAATCCTGCACAATGTCCCAGTGGTTCAGTCCCCTCAGTCTTTCATCTTGAAGAGCCCTGGGAACATGGAACCTCTCTAATCTCTTTCCTCCTTCCCTCTGGCCTGACCCTAGTGGTAGACTGCGTGGCAATCATACCAGGTTTACATCCAAGAACCTTTAGCAGTACCTGCAACGTGGTTGGTCGTGGTAAATAATCATTACGGTTAAAAAGAAAGGCACAGCAGGCCGGCCCTGCGGCTTAGCGGTTAAGTGCGCGCTCCGCTGCTGGCGGCCTGGGTTCGGATCCCGGGCGCACACGGATGCACCGCTTCTCCTGCCATGCTGAGGCTGCGTCCCACATACAGCAACTAGAAGGATGTGCAGCTATGACATACAACTATCTACTGGGACTTTGGGGGGAAAAAATAAATAAATAACATCTTTAAAAAAAAAAGAAAGGCACAGCAACAACAGCTGAAAAATAAAAATCCTTCTTTTTGTCAAATGTCCTTCAACAGTTACTTGAATAGATTGAACAATTTTATAAAGCAGATCAAATCGTTAATACTTGAGTCTATTTTTCTAAAAATTTATGTTGGAGGATTTCCTCGCAAGTCATTTTGCCTTAAAGTAGACATTTAAAGGGTGTTTTACTGATATTTTGATTGGCTATCATGATGTTTAATAATGCCTGCTTAGGACAATTTTCCAAAGAAAAAGTATTAGCATAGGCCCATAGCATAAGCTTGGGGAGATTAAACTTGCAAATATTTGCTAAGGAAAATCTTGGCCCTACCTCTACCTCCTGCTGAACCTGCCTCCATAGGTGGTGGGGTAGACATCCATTTGGGCATGGTCTTGTTTAAGCTCTTCAACTCTCCTAAAAGCATACCAACTTCATCACCTCCCCAACTGAATGCCAAAGTCTATGGATTTGTCCTTAACCAGAGCACAGGTTGTCAACCATCTAGATTCTTATTGGGGTTTAAGTCTCTCACATTTTATGCTGCCCAATATCTTCCACCAACTTGGATATGAAAATGACATTCAGGAAGGTGTTTTTGTGGAGGATGCAGTCACTCCATACTCTCATTCCCCTGGCATGTCATAAGTGTCAGTATACATGCCAGCACAGTTATTATCCATGATGCTGCTCCAACCCACAACTATGATAATTGTGATGGCTAATTTTATATGTCACCTTGGCTAGGCCATGGTACCCAGATATTTGGGCACACATTGTTCTAGATGGTTCTGTGAAGGTATTTTTCAGATGAGATTAACACTTAAATCAGTAGACTGTGAGTAAAGCAGATTACCCTCCATAATGAAGGTGGGCCTCATCCAATCAGTTGAAGGCTTTAATAAAAAAAAGACTGACGTCCCTGGAAGAAGACTGAATTCTGCCAGGACACTGCCTTTGGACTTGAACTGCAACAGCATCAACTCTTCCCTGGGTCTCCAGCCTGCCAACCTACCCTGCAGATTGGAACTCGCCAGTCTCCACAGTCACATATCTATCGTTTTCTCTCTCTCTGTCTCTGTCTCTCTCTGTCTCTCTCTCTCTTTCTCCCTATTTATACACATATATATATACATATAACTTCCCCAAAATTTCTCCGTATATACTAACTATTCTAAGGAGATTAAATGGGTTAGATGGGGAGATATTTAAAAGCATGTATAGATAACTATGTTTAGAATATTACTATTTAACATATTTCTACTTACATGATTTTATCTTGATTAGCCAAAGGGAAAAAAAGAAAAATATTTATTACTCTTGGAACTCACCCAGGCTACATATACATAAGTGTGTGTGTGTATTGGTTGAGTATAATGAAATATTTTGGCTCTTCAGATGTTTATCCAAGAAAAATATCAGAAAAATAGGTATATTAATTTTAAACTGCTAGGACTGTATGAGAATGTTTCCAAGATTTTGTCCTAGCTATGGAAGTAGCCTAAGTCCTATGATCCAACATCAGGGCAAACCTAGTGAGGGCTAGGAGAGAATATAAGGCTCCAAACTATCAGTTATTTCTGTGCAATAACGTTAGACATGAATTAAGTCCTAGCAAAAGAAAACCAATTTGGCAAATGCTAGCTAGTCTCTCAGGTCCCTTTCATCTCTAGGATGCTAAGAGAGCCTTCATGGAGCCAGTGTACAACTTACCCAGTAAGAGATTTCTGGCATATTTCCAACTGGTCCAGCAGATGTGGTAGTAGCTGCCCCATGGTCTCATCTCCGACACAGCACTGAACCACATTTGGCATTTCATGCGCACGACTCATGATCTTCACCCAAGATTTATCTATGTTGGAAAAGCGCTTGGCTTCCTATGAGAACAAGGTAACAAAGCACACTTGGACACGTCTGTGATCTCGAGGACAGAGCGTCTCACATACCCCAGAGGCCAGAGTTGGCCCAGTCTGGACACCCCAGCCATACACACCGAACGTCACACCTGATCTATTTCAATTCTTCTCGTGCCTTTTGCACCTTACCACTCCCTTTCTTCAATGAGAATCTTTAGCTCACCCGGTACCCCCATTATGTTAACAAAAAACAAGAAACAGATACAAAAATACCATATGGGATAGTTTGGGAGGAAAGCACACTCGCAACTGTTTTCACCAGTTATCTCTAAATGAAGTGAATTTTAAGTTTTTCAAATTTTCTACACTGAGCATTGAATTGTCTATTTAGAAAATAAAACAAATGTTTAAAAATAAGATACAAAATTAATTATAGTATATTTTTTTTAATTTTTTTAAAAGATTTATTTTCAGGAAAAAAATGGAAAATACACAGATTATTTTGAGTGAGTAGGATATTTTCTTCCTTACTCACTTTCTTCATCACGGATATTTTCTTCCTTAAAACTTTCTGAATTTTACCAATGAGCATGTACTATTAAATAGGAGAACAAGAAACCCCACCTAGATCCTTCAATATTGTAGGTGAAAGTTTCCATTATTAAGTCCAATTTAGGATTCTTCTCCACCCATCAAGAAGGAAAAAACACCCAAATATAAAAAGAAAAAATAAATAAATACATACTTAAAATTTTAGTGTATGGATACATTTCACTGGTGGCCAAAAAATAAATAGGCTAACAGATCTGTCCGCTGTAATTAAACCAAAAACTAAGCAAAGAGAAAGCTAGGAAACCTAAGTGAAGAGAACACTCAACATAATCCTGCTTCTAAAACCCAAATATATTGTTAAGATGTTATAATTTTGCAAACAATTTAAGGTAATTGAATAAGAATCCTTGAGATTTGGTAAAAATGTTTTTTAAAAAAATCTCAAAATACACTGCATACATACCAAGCAAGATGATTACAATTTAATGAGAGAAAACAGTCAACATCTTGAGAAAAGGGACTTTTTGTTTTAGAGCTTTTTTCCTGCAGATTTCCACCCCTCAATTTTACAGTACAGATATAATTGGGCATATTGTATAGTGTGAGTTATTTTAAACTGTTAATAGTAGAATAACAAATTATCCTATCATTGTCAAGATAAATTACTCCATAATTCTACACTGTTCCAAATTCTACCTTCAAATTATCTGAAGAAGGGTCTCAATTATGCAGGAATTCATCCTTTGTTTTTCTTAACCTTCTGTTTCCTATAAAAACCTCACAGTTTTGTAGTATTCTTACTCTCTGATTTTCACCCCCTTCTTTTCCACAATTACTCTCTCTCTCTTTGAAGAACAGTTCAAGAACAACAACAAAAAGATCGGGGAGGTGGTGGCTCACTAGAGGTTGAAACATTATTGCATTTTTAAAGGAATTATTAGTTATTAGATAGTTCTCTAAGTTAAAAACCTGATGAAATCATAAAGAAAATTCTACAACCTTGGGAAGCTGCTTGGCAATGTCTCCTCCCACAAAGACGGCTTCTAAGTAGATCCACAAGTTTTGCACCATCATCCAGTTCTCGATGATGTCTGTTGAGTTAGAAAGGTACTGAACCCATTTTTGAATCTGGGCTTTGAATGGCATATTGTACCTAAAATGAGAAATACATTCAGCATTTGTTCTTTTGGTGTTTTGTTTTTATTCTTGTTGTTTTCAAACTAAAAAGATTCTTTTTAATCCTAATTTTTACCTATTTCTCTACAACTTTGATTATGTTGCTGCCTGTTAAAATAATGCTACCAAGGGATTATTTCATCACCATTTATTGGGCATTGTTAAACATTTTCCCTTTTGATCCAGAACATAGAGAGGTGGGAGACATGTCATCTACGGAGCAGATCAGGCATTAGACTTGACTCCACCCAGCTGCTGGAATAATATAATTCAGGTCATTGTTGCTACAGCCAAGAGAATAGTATTCTGTCTACTGAGCTTCTGTGCCAAGTCCATGGAGTCTCTGGTTTTTCATTTAATATAGTACAATTACAGAGCCATTGGTGGTGGCCAAAGACCTGATTCAATTTCCAAATGTGATAATATCTGGAAAATCTCTTTAGCCTCCCCACTTCTATGGTATCTTTCCAACTTCCCCTCACTGATGTCCAACCCACTCATGCCCATGTGTGTATGTGTGTGAGGGATTATGCATGTTACATATAAACCCTGATAGCCACTTTCCCACCTCTCTCACAGTTAATCTATCTTCCCCTTTTTTCCTCTTGAGGCAGAAACTGACATTGGCCTCCCAATGTCTTTTTCTCCTTCTTCTTTAGATATAGAACCCCGTTTCTACCTGGACACATAGCTGCCCAGTTAAAATACTGAATTTCCCAGCTTCCTTTGCAGCAATGTGCAGTCCCAGGACTATATTCCCATTGATAGTTCTCAACCTTAGCTGGGTGTGTCTAGTGTGCAGCCAAGGCTGAGAACCACTCTTCTAGAAGAGAAGTGAGTGACAGCATTAGATGTTAGGGGTAGTATGGAGGAGAAGGGCCACACCTGGGAAAGACAGAAGAGCAAGCCAGGCAAAGCATAGGTCCCTGGTGACATGATGGAGCCCGCACTCCAACCTGAACCATCCACCTGGGGACTTCTTTTACATGAGAGAAACGTAAACTTCAGTCTTGTTTAGGCGATGTTGTATGCGGTGCTTCTGTTATTTGCAGACAAAATTAATCCTAAATTATTGTACTGCCTGTCATTGTTTTTCCTTTTCTCTTTTTTCTCCCTGTACTGATCTCTCCAGTCCAACAGAATATGGATTTGGACTCTTCTCAGATATTAGCGAGCTTAGTGAATAAAATTTTAATTTCCATATTCTTAACTGTTAAATAGATTCTTTTAATATTCCTCACGTCTTTCTGGGGTTTTTTGTTTATGCTTTTCATGAGATCTCTTTTATTTACTCCACTATCCATAGCACCTACAAGAGCGCATGGCACATGGTAGGTGTTCACTAAATTTGTGTTGAATACATGTTCCTCACACAATTCTGTCTGTGGATTCAATGCCATTGGTAAGGAAAGTTTCCCCCACAGATCATTTTTATTTAATTAAGTCGTGCCCTTTCTACCTTCCCAGGGTGTGCTGTCTTCCATCTGTCTTTCATTCTGGTTGGATATGAATGGTAACCAAATCCATTAAAACTCACCAAATTCTACACAGTCCAAACTTGAATTTACCAGTGGGCCAAATCTCTAAGATCAAATTTCATATTCTATATTACTTATTTCAAACACTTAGGTGTACCAAGTAAATGGAAAGGGGGGAATTTTTTAGTCAAAACAGTATTAAGTAGTTACTACTTCCTACATTAAAATTATTGATACACATATACACAGAGAATAGAGTGACATTTTAGACATAGAATAGCACAATAAATTCATATCTCAATGATACTCACATTCTACTCAATTACCCTATATGTGAGAAGATGCTGGTAAACAAAAAATTATTTCAGAAAGAGCAAAGGGAAGCAAGGAATGGAGGAAATGTAAGTTCATGAGCCTATGGATTGCGTGTCAAAAGCACAAGGGCTTTGCTGTTACTGTCAAACGGAAGTGTTAGAGTCGCATTGGTCTGTGCTGCTTTACCTCTCTTTATGAACTAGATTCATTCTCTATCTTAATCTGTCATCTCATTAAAGTATGTACACAACTAAGAGTTTCTAGTCCCTAGATGTTGGCAAAAAGGTTTTCCAAGTAGAATGATTATTCTGAAATTCAGAATAATTTTCCCCCTGAACTCTAGAGCCTGTTGAGCTGTCAGCTGTGCAGTGAGGCTTGTCAGCAGCAACACTGAAATGTTCCGCAAGATCCAAGAGGCTAATTACATGTTGCATTATTTTGTCCAACTGATGGTCTCAGACACAACCCACAAGTAGAAGACAAGGAAATAACAACAGGATTACACATGCTGTGCCAAACGCTAAAATTAAAACAAGTATTTTTAATATGGAGTAAATTGTATGAGGGATATTGTTGCATTTTTAAAATCGATTTCCCTTGAAATGTTTGTTATGGTTCTCAAGTCTCAGGAAAAAGATGGATGGTTTTCCTACCTGTTGCTCAGTAGCGAGCCCAGCAACATTAAGCTGTCCTCCATGGTGGCAATGATTTCCGAGGTACTGTCTCCTCGTAAGAGGAGCTCTCCACGAGTTTTAAAGCTGCCGAATGTGAATGTTTTGTTGTCCCATTCATTAATGACTTGCTTCAGCTTTTGCTCAATGTCTCTCTCTTTAACTGCACTGATGCAGATGTCCTATTAAAATTACAAGCTCTCATTTTATCACATGAAAGTCACACATCCTTCCCGAATAGTCTAGAATCAGCAGAGGTCCTATCTTCACTCTTTGCTTCATATGTGTCTATAAATATTCATATTTCCAGGTCTAAACTGCAATATAATAAATGGTGTGTATGTATATGCAGATATAGATTTAGGGATAGAGATATTACTAAGTAACAGAACCTTAATTAGTGAAATTTCCCACCAAACTATGCCAGAGAGAAAGATGACAGAAAAGATATGCAACAATGGAATATTATTCAGCCGTGTGAAAAAAGGAAATCCTACCATTTGCCACAATATGGATGGAACTCGAGGACATTAGGCTAAGTGAAATAAATCAGATGGAGAAAGACAAATACTATATAACCCTTCTATGTGGAATCTAAAAAACCGAACTCAAAAAAACAGAGCGGAATGGTGGTTACCAGGGGTTGAAGAGTGGGAGAATGGGAGAGATGTGGTTTAAGGGTACATACTTGCAACTAGGCGATAAATAAGTCTTAGAGATCTAATACACAGTACAGTGACTATAGAGAACAATACTGCATTATGAACAATAAATGTGCTAAAAGGCTAGATCTTAACCGTCCCTGTCACTAGAAGAAATGATAATTATGTGATGTAATAGAGGCATTAGCTAATGCTGCAATGGCAATCATACCACAATATAAATGTATCATACCAATATGTTGTATACCTTAAACTTATTCAATGTAATACGTCAATTATATCTCAATTTCAAAAATCAAGATAAAATAAGATATGCAATAACTTTTTAAATTTTAGAACTTTAATCGCAGACAAAATTTAATATAACTCTGATTTAACTCTAAAGTCAAATCAGTGCAGTATGAGAGGAGGGAATTAGCAGAAACCTGATTTCTTCCCAGCCTTATGATCACTTTCCCAGTCTCCTCTGCAGCCTTATCTTCTCCTGGACCATTAGTCAAGCCCTGTCCTTGCCCTCTTCACGTCTCACACTGCACTCCCTCTCTGGGTGAGCTCATCTATGCCCATGCAGGCAGTAACCTTTTGTACCTCCAGGCAAGACCCACATCCATTTGCCTCCGGGGCTTCTCTGCTTGGATATATCAAGGGAACCCCAAACAAAATCTGTGAAATAGCAAACTCATGCCCAAAATCAAGCTCACAGTTTTTGCACCTTCTCACTCAACCTGATTCCCTTCCAATATTACCTATCTCAATGATAAGCACCATCATCCATCTAGATCTCTCAGCAAGAAATCTAGGGTTCATCCTTAGCCCCTCCCCTTGTTTCTCCTACCATGTTCCCACCACCAACAAAACTTACCCAGTTTTAGCTCCTAAAGCTCTCTTTAATCTCTTCTACTCTTTCCCATTTCACTACCTGCCTCCTCGACCAACACACCATTATCTCTTGCCTGGGATATTCTTATAACTTCCCCCTTGCCCTACTCCAATCCATTCTCCAGTTTTCATAAAGAGTGATCTTTACAAAATGCAAATCTAACAATGTCATATCCTGTTCAAAATATATCTCCCAGATGTCTCCCCATTGCTCCAAAGACTGAAATCGATACATGTTCTAGCCCCACTGCACCTCCCCATCCTCAGCTATCTCCTCTCTCCCCCATCCCGATACCCCAGCCACTCTGGCCTTCTCCTGGTCCCCCAAACACACCTCACACCCTTCACACATGCTGTTCCATTTGCCTTGCATTGTCTTCTTTGCACTTTCCAAGCCCCTCACACCCATCACACAAGCTCACTCCCTTCACCCGGCAGTCATTTGCATGCACTCCAGCCTTCCCTACATTTATCACCCTTTACCCACCTCCCAGATAGGTCAAGCCCCATTATTGTAGGCTCTCATAGAGCATCATACTTTTCCTTCAATGGTATTTACCATGGCTTGCAACTATACCCTTATGTGTATAATTATTTAATTATACAAATTATTTAATGATCTATAAACGCAAGAATGCATCCTCATGTCCCCAGCACTTAGCACAGAACCTGTCACAAAAATATTTGTTGAAGGAATTAATAGTTGAATGCCAGGAAAAGAGTTTTAATTGTCCTGGCATGGTTTACTGAGCCAACATTCCACAATGTGGGAACACTTCAAATAAATCCCACGAGACTTTCCAACCTCCCACCACATCATGCTCTCTTATCAATTGTACCTCTATTTCCTCTTTGTATTTCAGAAGAGGTGCCTCCATGATATTTCTTAACTTAAAAGTTTCATTCCCCACATCCAGACTATGCCCAGTGAGAGCAGTTATCCTTTCCCAGTGCCTCTCCATCATGGCCTTACTGGCCAGGTGCTCCAGCAGGGGGCAACATTCGCTGAAATCATCAATGGTCTTCTTCAGATCCAAAAAAGCCTGCCAGTCCTTCAAAGCCCGGGGCAGCTTCCGACACCTGCAAAGGGAAGCCAACACGAAAGGTCATTTGAATATGAGCCCAGAAGCCTCTAGTCCAAGATTGTCTGCTAGCACTTCTATCAAAAACAGTCACTTCAAACACCTATCACATTTTTAAATCTCATGACTCAGAGGATATTTGTTAATAGAATATACTTTTACACTACAGAAAATTGCTCCTCCCAATCAGGAGAGAATTTTTTTCAACCCCTCGTAATAATTAACCAAGTAAAAGGCATTATTTTAAGGGATAGAGGTGCCTCCTGATTCAATTCAATTCTACAAACACGTATTAAGATCCTGCTAAGTACAAAGCACAACAGAACGTATCGAGCTATCAATCAAAAAACACGACAAATGATCTTCTATTTTCTTTGGGTTCAACACTTAAAACGATGTAGAAAAATCATGGGGCTCTTGCTTTTATTCCAGGCAATCATCTAACGTAAACTTCAAACGTTTGATAAGTACAATATAAATAGAGATCAGTTCCCTCCAAGCTGCAGAAAAGCCCCTGACAAGATTTATCCGGGTTTAAAGGATGTGCTTGTCTCACCGTGTACACACAGGGGCAATTAATAAATAGCATTTGACAAGGGTGATGTCAACAGACAACAGCAATGCAGCATGATGTGCTTTCGAAACATCTGGCATGAAAAGAAAGCTTGACAGCCTATCAAAGAAGAAAGCATCTGAGGTTCAACAGCTCTGGGCATGCTAAACATTTAATTTCTCACCTGTTCTGAAACTCTGAAAGTTCATTGTTGATTTTTTCAATATTCACTTCTGACCAAAGGATATCATGATAGCTATTTACGGTTTCTATGACGCTGTTGTATAGAGTGTATATTTTCTGTAGAAGACTTAATTGCTTCTTTATTTCGAGAAGCTGAGGATACTGCGTAACTGGCAAACCAAAAAGCTCCTCTCCCCCAGTATAGGTGATGTATTTCCGATATATATTATCAAATTGATTCTAATCAAAACACAAGTGAAAACTCATCAAAATGATTCACATATGAACAAACATGCAAATGAAAAAAGAAGATTGGCAAATAAGCAAACATGTATGATCTCTGAGCACATATAAATAGGAATACCAAATAAGTATAATTAATTACATAGAAACCAACTCTAATTATAACCATGCCAAATCACGTTTTTTAAAATGTAAGTACATATCATATTCCACAAAAGGCCTTTCTATATTAAGAAAAAAAATGTATGTGTTTAAAACACATTAAGGTTTTGGTTTTAGAAGTTCATAGAAACTAAAAAGATTACCTGAAACATGATGAGCCTATCACTGGCTTCCTGGGGTTTCAAGCCACTAGCCATTGGACCATTCTGAAACAAAAAGTTAAAGATAAAATAGAATGAAGCGCTTACATACAAATTTCAAGAACTCAAAGTATGTCAGTATCAAAATTAGCTTTCACCCATATCACATAAATGATAGGAAACTTAGTTTTTTACTTGTAAAAAAGGACTCAGGAAAGTGACTCCTTTGGAAATATTTTCAAGTTTAAAAAGGCCAAGTTAACGCCACAACTTCCATATGTCAAGAAATTCTGAAAACTAAAAATATATACTATTCATTTCTTAGGTGACACAGGCAAAGAAGGCTCAAAAACTATTCTATAAGAAGCATATACGTAGAGTCTGATTTTGAACTAGAATATTAATGCTGCATAACTCACCGATTTCACCAGTCTAATATCTATTTGTCAGGTGACCTATAATCTTAACATTCCAATTAGGTTTTCCTACATTAGAATGCCTTAAATATGCGGATGTCTGTGCTTCTTCATCCACGAAATAGAGCATGGATCCAACCTCCTAACTTTATTCACTTTGTGGTTTGCTGTGCTGCTAGTTAATAGGTACAAATTTACCCTACACTCTACATATTTCTCTTATGTAACACACTATAATTGGCTAGAAATTGGTCGCGTTACCCACATATTCCCAATAGAAGATTCTGCACTAAAACTCACATACGTATGATTAAAATATGGACTCCATCTGTCTTGTCCATTTTTGTGTCTTCAGCACCAAGGGCAGCACCTGGCACACACTGGGTGCTCTACAGTATTTGTGGAACTAATGAATGCTGTGGCAAGGTCGACCATTATAACTATATCGAGTAGTATTTGTCTACACAAATTTAGAAGGCATCAAACAACTCCAGTAACAGATCAATGATTAACAGCACTTGTAAATTTCCTATTTCCTGTTGAAATTATTCTGGCTGAACTCTAAAGGGAAAGGATTGCGAAAGGGAAATGTCTTTGCTCTCATGAAAATAAAATTCCCATTCCTAGAGAATTTCATTGAATGTGATACGTAATCTTTAAACAACAACCACATTTTACATGCTCTATTCACTCTTCTTCAAAAATACACACAGAGAAAACCAGAATCGTACCAAATTATAGTCCGAGTAGAACTGGTGACAGTCTTGAAGGAAGACCTCCACAGTACTAATAAGCTCTTTCCTGAAGCTGGGCTGCAGAGAGACCAATTCATTCTGAACTTCGCTGGCACGTGCCAGAAGCTTCTCCCAAGCATAACGCAGAGTATCCACTTTGTCCATCTCTTCCTTTGCTATCAGAAGTCCATATTTGTTAAGCAGGGCGTAAGATTCCTACACAAAAGAAGAAAAATTTAATTTCTGCCAGTCAGATGCATAAATCTACACAAAGTCATTTATTAAAGCATTAGAATGGAAAAGACCAGCATGATAGGGAAACCGCCCAGAAAGTTCTAGTTCTTCTACTTGCAACCTCTAAGATCTTAAGTCAGCAATTGAGGCTCTAAGCTTCAGTTTCCTCACCTGTAAAACATGAAAATTCCCTGACTGCTTCACAGGATTTTTGTGAATATTGAAAAATATCATTTTAAATGCATTTTGAAAACTATAAATAGTTATACAAATAAAAGGTATTTTTACTTAGGCCCGCAAATTGGTTTTGAAGAGTACAAAATTATACCAACTAAACGAGAAACATAAGACAATTTAACTGTTAATATTAAAATAACAAAATAAACCAGGGTTTTAACTCTATCCCATTTCACTTCATTGGCAAGAGATTCCAACTGTAGGACACAAGAGAGCATTCTTGAATCACAGCCTGAGCCAAGTCATCGCCCTCAGGTTGCAAATTCCTAGACTACTCTCATGGCTAGAAGATTAAAATGAGGCTAATTTTGGTTTTCATGAGAAAAGATTTTCCTTAAATATCCCTGGCCTCTTCTCCCACTATTACTCCTCCCCGTAGAGGTAGAATGGATACCTGACTGTTGATTTGGGGAAAGACTGGTGATTTGGACAAGCATAGCCCAGTGCCTTTCTCCCTCTTCCCTCTTTCTCCTTGAAGACATGCCTGTGGTCTGCACTCCAGCACCAATCAAATGGAGCAAGGTACTAGAGAGGCCTGTAGCTTTCCAATGCTGCCTCTGATGGATAAGTACAATTCTGGAATTTAGTATTCACAAGCCCATAGTGTACGTGCATAGGGCAGGGAGATGAAGGGGGGTGTAATGGGAATATGTGAGTTGTACACTAAATCATGTCTCCCAAATAAGTTCTATCAGTAATAAAGACTGTATTTTGATCTTCACTACTTGACTACAGTTTTGTCTTAACTCTCAGGTGGAGGAAAACAGGGTTGTCAGTTACTGATCCTCCTCTTCAAACCCCAGGGTCTCCCCGGTCCTACACAAAGCAGAGGCTCTTTGCCTTGATGTTTCAATTCCCAAGAAGAACGCCGTGAACCATGTGATTTTCCTGACACAACACAGCAGAGGTGCAAACGTGCAGTCATCTGAATCATCTCACGGTAATTTGAAATTTTCCAAAATTCAAAGAAGGATGCAAAAAACGTGAGACTAGAGTAGGATCCTAACTGTCAGAGTTGAAGTTCAGACATTCAAGTTATGGTGTGATGAAAAGATGTTTTCATGTCTGGAACTGTTTTAAAGCTACAATTATACTAGTTTCATTTAATAGAATAAATACGGTGACCCATTCCTGATAAAACATTTTCATCTAGAAAAGACAGTATGATAATAAAAACAAAAGTTGTATGCAACACTAATCAAACTGCATAACTTCTTTGACCCTCAGTTTCCTTAGGTGTAAAATGGGGGTTGTAGCAAAGATTAAACAAGTTAATACAGGGTTAATACTTGAATGGACACCATTAGTGCACCATCCAGGTCCTATTTATCAGCTGGCATTTGCATCCCTGACTGCTGGGAGCATTGGCTGTAGGGATCAAGCTGCCTTCTTCCCTTGACAATTGTCCTCAGCTGAATAGGAACCTCCTCATGGGAGATTATGGTCAATGACCAACGGACTTGGGGGAATAAATGACAGTCCCACTTTCCTCAAGGTGGAACCAACTGTGTAATACCATTCGTGCTCCAGAGCCCCTGTGGGATCTGGCTGAAACCAGTCTACAGCTAAGATCACATCCTCACTTAGCTCCCCCACCCCTGAACCAACCTCATCCTCTCCTGTTTCCCTCTTCCCTTCTCATGTGAACATGCATCAATAAATTACTTGTACAGAAATCCTCACCTCAGGCTCCGCTCTTAGGGACTTCAGATGCCATGGAAAGGACTAGAACTGGCCCATAGAAGGCACCCTATAATGTTAGGTATCATCATTACCGAAATTGTTGTTCTTAAGTTTAGCATCCATTTGTAATATAGACCTGGTCAATATTTCAGCTAATATCTCCCATCACGTGGAAATATTTCTATATGAACAAATGATTATTAGTTACCTCGATAGGTCCTACTTGAAAGTCAATGGAGATTTGCTGCTCCCTGATTTCCTTCAGTGCCACCATAGCAATCCGAATATCATCAAGGTCTCTAATTTGACGATTCAGCTTCTTATTGAATTCGTCAACAAGTGTAAAAATGTTTTCCATCTCACTCCTGTATTTTTTGTTACAGTGACGGCCGATGACAACCATCCAGGCCTTCGTCTCAGCAGTCAGAGTGAACTTCAAGTCAGCTGTAAAACCCAGATGTCCACAGTTCAGTTTGAAAAACTTGAACCAGTATGAGAAGACCCAGTGCTACTGTTCACCAACAGTAAATACTTTTAAGCTTACAGCACTCTAACTCATGAAAAATCAACCTGGAAAAACGTTAGTTTTTCCTAATCATTATATATTCATCATTTTATAAAGCTTGTTTTGCAACAATTCAAAACATAATTCAAAATGCTAAAAAAAAAGTACACATCAAAACCATTAGGATCGCTTCTCGGCCTTTTGGCTAAGATCAAGTGCAAAACCATTGGAGATAAGCCTCAAATGTTTGTTATTATTTATTAAAGATAAATTTTAATTCCAAATACAAAAGACTCATCCCCTTTCTCTGAATTAGCATTTATTCTCAAGGTTTAGCACCACAGTGTCCAAAATAGTCTAGAATAAATAAATATACAGAAAAGAATTAAAAACAAATCTACAAATTTATCTTAAAGGTTGAGGCCCATAAAAGGAAAGCCAATCTTTAAGATAGCAAAAACTCTCTGGAATACTAATCTAGGTAAAGAGACAGAACAATACCATTGAATTTTTATGACTATCTGAAAGAAAATGAACCAACCTGTGTACAGAGCAATGGCACCCACACAGATATATTCAGGCTCAGCATTAATTTCCTGCTCTAGGTTTCGGAAATAGAGAATCTCAGATTCAAATTCAGAAAGCAAGGGGTTTTTCATAATAAACGTCATAATGGTTTCTTCTTTCTCCTTTTGCCAAATGTGATTGTAGCGTTTGAAGCAATCCATGGATGTAACAACTTCCTAGAGTACAAATAACAGATTTGTGTTGAGATGGAAGAAACGGCATCATGGTATAAGTGAATATTTGCCAATTGCTGGTGGCCTCCATGGATTTCTTAAAATGTTTAATTAGTGAACTGTGTGACTAGTTGGAAATGCCACAGAACTGGAACTGGATACAACTGTGTAAATAGTAATCCAAGACTAGTAACAATGAAACTGTTACCAACCCTAGCCAAAAGGAAAGGGGGACAGTTTCTAGGAAAAAAAGAGAGAGTGCGTGAAGACTCTTGTGGACAGGGCCCTCTTGATTGGGCTAGACCTTAGGTCAAAAACCATAGCTCAAAATCATGCCACAGAGAGGGTGCTGTGGGAAAAAATAGTCTGAGGTCACTCTCTTCCCCCATCCACCCCCCAGACCTCCTCCAGGACTCTCATCGGTCAAATCTACTGGAGGCCTCAGTGTAAACCTACTGATTTGTTTCCTAAGGTCAGAGGGTGGAGATTAGCTCTGGAGGGGCAAACAGAATATATCCAGCGTCAAATCCCATTCAGAAATTGCATGAAATCGCATATAATGTATAAATTCATTGGATAAGGGTTGACATCTGTACGATATTAAATCTTCCCATCCAGAAACATAGTATGTTTCCAAATTTTCCCATCTTTTATTTAAATTCCCTGTTAAGTTTTAGAGGAATCTTCACAGAGACCCCACACACCCCACACACTTATTATTATGTATGTCCCTAGGTATTTTTCAATGATGTTGTTATTGTAAACAGGATCTTCATTCCACTGTTTTTATAACTGGCTATGGATGGCATATAAGTTAAAAAAAAATCTGATTTTACTTTTTTTCCTCTCTCTTTTTCTTATTGAGGTCACATTGGTTTACAGCACTATATAAATTTCAGGTGTGCATCATTATATTTTGACTTCTGTATAGCCTACATCGTGTTAACCATCAAGTCTAGTTGCCATCCATCACCATACACATGTGCCCCTTTACCTATTTTGCCCTACCCTCACCCCTTTCCCCTCTGGTAACCCCCAATCTGTTCTCTGTATCTATGCATTTGTTTGTTGTTGTTGTTGTTGTTGTTTTATCTTCCACATATAAGTGAAATCATACAGTATTTGGCTTTCTCTGTCTGACCTATTTTTTAATAAACAGTCCTGTTTGCTACAAAGTGTGCTTCTGTGAGATGATTGGCTCACTCGCAACTGGTAACTAGGAATGATGTCAATAGAACGGGGAGGTCTCATATCAAATGCTGTTTTTCCCAGCCCTTTGTTCTGTACCAGCTGAAGTAGCAATCCTTTGTGCCATGCTCCCTCCGCCATTTCTTCCTTTTGGGCCAATTTGGTCACCACTTTGTTTTGAGAATGTTCTTTGCACAGTTCGACCTGATCTTTGCATCTTTTACCCTTATTTCTATAACTCAGCAGCTTCAACTGTTTCTTACTCCACCTTCTACCAAGTTCCTTTCACCTTTTGATAGTAAAGTTGTAGACTTATTATAGAGTTATTAAACGGGTTAATATTTTACTACGATTGTTAATGCTTTTGTTACTATTCTGGTTACAAAATTTCCTAGGTTTTGTGTGTCTGCCTCAACCCTGTTTTTCTCATAATCCCTATTATATTAAATGGGCAATTTTGCAAAACAGGATTTTCAGGAACATGTTTATTGCATTACAGCAGAAATGCCTATAATTATCTTTCAACTGACTACTAACAACTCTTATTGGGCCATATGTTTTTTCAGATTAGCCTCTTGGATTTACTTGGTAGATAATCATATCATTTACAAATAATTAAAAATTTGTCTCCTCATTTCTAAGTTTATTACCTCTTGGGAATCAACTTTTCTATTGGCTTATATTATAATTTCAGAGTTACATCTGCATGAGAAACAATTTTCAAAACTGAGATAAAGTCCAAAATGCCATTATTTGAAAAAAGAGAGCATTACCAACAGCATTCTAAATGGCCCAGTTGCTTTAAGTGAATTTCACCAACCCGCACCAAAGCAAGGAGTAGCTGCACTCCAACTTCCCACACACAGCTAAAGTGTCCCTCAGAGCCTCAGGTTTAATGGGCCTTGAGACTTCCCACCCTTTTAAATGCAGAAAGCTAAGCCTGCCGCTGCTTCTCCCAACCACAGCTGATGCCCTGGCATGGGCTGAGAAGCTGACATGCATACCCAGAATGCATTGCAACAGCATGAAGACATAGTCACACATGTATGATGACCTGGAGAATGAAGTATAGATTATCAAAGATCTTTGCATATGGGTAGAAATTCCAGAATCTTGAGCTCTTTCAACATCCAAGAGTTTTCTATATTAAGACTATATCCTAACTAAATAAATTTTAGATTCTCATTTATTTTATCTGAAAGTCACAGTCTTTATTAAATTGGAACTTTTGTGTGTGTGTGTGAGGAAGATTAGCCCTGAGCTAACATCCGTGCCCATCTTCCTCTACTTTATATGGGACACTGCCACAGCATGGCTTGAAAAGCAGTGCACAGGTCAGACCCTGAGAACTCCAGGCCACCGAAGCGGAGCGCACAAAATTAACCACTACACCACCAGGCCGGCCCCTATTAAATTGGAACTTTTTTGAGCGGAGGTAACCTAGAGCTTAAAGGAAAAATTACACGAACTACATATGTAGAGCTGTTCTGCTTGAGTCATTTTTATTGCCCAGGCTATTTTATTGTTTGGTCCAGCTCATCTTTTCAAGCCAGGCAATGTTGTAAGTTGACGGCCAGCCTATGGACATACTGAAGGTAGGTCAGGTTTACGTTCTGATCCAATCAGCTATGGCAAGAGGAAAGGGGCTGGGATGATAGGATTGTCGGTGGTTGAGGGAGAACCATTCAGTAGGGTCTATGGCTGTGAAGGGCTGGTCATGTCTAGTACTATCACTAAGTGTGTATTTATTCTTCCAGAAACAATCTATCCATCCTATCAATCTGAAAAAAGTCCTTCACGTTATTCCAAGTGCTAACCCTTTCTCTGATTTTAAGGAAGACTAAGATCTATATATTTCCTTCATATAATATAAAAGCGAATGCAACAAAAACACAGATAAGCATTTTGTTGCCAGCGGTATGTTAATTTCAACTACTATGTCTTACCCTTAGATTTTCATAATAGTGGCTGCTTATATTCAGAGAAAGTAATGGACTTTATTATTGATTTATTTTATTGTGTTTTCCATGATTACTGAGACATCTGAAAATATATCTGAATATTTATCATCATAGAATACTCTACTTGCCTTTATCATTTACTGTAGAGCTTGCTAAACTAAGCAATAGATAAATATTTGTTAAATTGAATTATGTGAACACTGCCCCTAGGGCAAAATTAAATACGGGACCTTCACTATATTAAGAAAGGAAAATTGAAAATGCATAAATGCAAAAGCTTCCAGTTCCCTTGGGAACACATTAAAATTAAACTGAATAATATTTCCTCACACAGTTTCAGCAATGGTGGCTTTTCAAAATGCTTTCAAGCAAATGCAACTCATTCTGTCAAACTCAGTAGTAGAAAAGAGGTATTTACTGAGTGACAACTATTCCCTCAACACTCACAAACATTTTTAAGGAGTCAACAGGTGTTAGTGGCAATGTGAACACAGACATTTTTTAAGTAGAAATTGACTTCAGGGTTTTGAGTCTTTTTGACCACAACAACAGATTTGCCTGAACAAAAATAGGAAGTCGAGAGAAGAGCAGGTTGGAACTAAAAATTAACCCAAATTTATATCCATGTCCAGTACAAGTTTGTATTGATAATATTAATATTTTCTTTATTCTCAGTATTATCTGATTTCTATGTGGCAATATACACAAATTTTCATCATCTATTTTATAAGATTTGCCTGGCTACACAAATATGAAAAATTGACTGTAAATCTTATTCTATTTCAAATGTACTAGTATCACTGACTCTTTGGAGGTAAATTGTAACACCAGTCTGATCTGTGGTTTGCGACACAGCAAATTTTTTAACAGATTTATTTGTACTAAATAAATAAATAGGTTAAAGGCATTAAACAGAATACAATATAAAACATAGGAATAATAGATATCTTTCACCTTGCAATATAGAACAAAAGATCTTTAGTTAAACAAACACTTGCTGAGCACATACACGATGCCATAAGCCGCTCACTGAAGGCACAGTGGGTGAGCCCCAGGCTGCGTGTCAGACAAGACTGTGATGCTCAGCGTCACACAGGCACATATTGTGAAGCAAAGGGGCCCTGGCGACAAATCCTCTTGACCTACCTTTTTGGTGGAGTTAATGATAGTGCTAAGCACAGAGACTAATTTTACAATCTCTTTGTTGTCAGAAATATTCTTATAATAGTTCCTGGCTTGAACAGGAATGGGTAAGTTTACAGATGCTATTTCAAAGGTATCTAAAAGCAAAAGAAGAGAGAAAAGATTATATCGACAGCATAGAGAACATGCTTTAAAAAGATGAGGGGATTTCTGCAATGATAAAGTACGGACCTCTAAAAATCCTCTTCTTTATAAAAGTGATTGAAAACAGTGGGAAAACTGGTCCATATCAATTTTCAGGACTCTGAAAATTAACCAAAGCTTGCAACAATCCAAGGAGTGCTTGTTTATTTAAGAAAATATTCTGACTCTTGGTAACACAGTGAGTTTCGTGGTGTTTCAACTGGCTCTCTGTCCACTGCTCCCTTACCAGCTACGTGGTAGTTTGAGAAACAGGAGCCTTGCAACCACTGTGGCCATGAAAACCACAGCCTAGCAGTAGCCTAGAAGTCACCAGAGGGGCTAGATTGGGTTTGGAGCTCCTCAGGAAGCCCCCACAGAATTGTCACTATTTGACTTGTCTGCAAGCTGCCTGGAAAAGCCCCATTCAAAGAGCTTACATTTATTTGACCTGACTCAGAACTCACGGAGTGAAAAAATCCCGATCCCCAAGACGTTTGTCAAAAAACAATCAGCGACAAATAACTACTTTTACAGAATATAAATGAAATATAAGTGAAAACCATGAGACATACAGCAAAAATCACAGCATGTTAGCAAAACAGGACACATAATAGGTCAAAATACAAACTATCTCTTAAAGGTCAGGAAATATTCATTGTGATGACAAGTTTCTCTTTAAACTGTGAAACTAAAATGCTTCTTGTCCCCCAGTTCTCATCATTACATTGGACCAGAAATCAGTGACGCAGCCACAACTGTAACACACTCGCTAAAAATACGCTATTTTAAATGGTGGTATTAAAATACATGGATCTTTATATTTTATAAGCTTAAAATTGGCTCATAGATTAATATTCTGATCTAATCTGATTTGAGAATTACATAGAAGGAAAATACATTTTCACTCAGTAAATGTTGGTTTACAACAACCAGCCAAAAGAACAGAGGTCTGGCCCCATGGCCTGGTGGTTGAGTTCGGTGCACTTCGCCTCAGCTGCCCAGGTTTGGATCCCGGGCGCAGACCTACAACACTCATCGGCAGCCATGCTTTAGCAGCGACCCACATACAAAATAGAGGAAGACTGGCACAGATGTTAGCTCAGAGAGAATTTTCCTCAAGCAAAAAGAGGATGATTGGCAATAGATGTTATCTTACAGTGAATCTTCCTCAGCAAAAAATGAAAAAAAAAAAAACTGAAAGAACATTTACCTTGAGGTTCATTTTCTCCCATTTCGACATCAGAATCACTGTCTTCACTATTCCGCAAAGTAGCCATTTTTCTTTCATGCGTCTTTTTCTACAACATGAAAGGATATTGTTCAGCTCGGTCCCATCTATAAAAGCAGCTTCCACATGAAATGATTTCTTCATTGCACACCTACCTTGGACAACAGCTCACTGCTCCACTGTCTAACCCCCTTGGTGACGTTGACGATGCACTCCACGGCTTTGCTCAGCGTCTGCTGTATGTCTTCCAGGGCAGGGGCCATAGCAATGTTGGGAATGGCCAGAGTGATGCCTGCCCGGAAAATGGGCAGACTGTTCCGCCTCATCTTAGAGGCACTGTTACTGTCTGAGTTAACACGAAACAGGGAAGATTTAATCTTTTAAATTTAAAATGGGATTTATTTCATTCTTAACCAGAAAAATTAAAGCATCAAGAACAATAGATAATAGGTGTATAATCGGAAAAATATTTTGAATAAATGAATGAATGAATAAAAGCTAATGGAGGATCTAGCTTTGTTCAATGTAACAGAGCAGTTCAGTAGAATCCAAGTCATTTTCTGCTAATTACAACCTTCTGGTGCACCCTCCAGAAAGGACACTCATTGTGTGGGGTCAGGCTTGTTATGTAAACACTTATCTAAAATATTAAAGACCATACTGTCCAAATAACAGGATGCCAACAAATTAGCTAAATGTAGAATAAGTAAGCAAGGCATGAAAAACAAGAATAACTATCAGAACAAGCCAAAGTCAGAAGAAATAACTGGGTTCGAATTTCAAACAAAACAAATAGCTTTCCTACCACTGTGTGTATAATCCAAACTCTGAGCAGTTAGAGAGTGGAGAAGAAATAAAGTGTGACTCACCATTTATATCCAAAGGGCTTTTAAAGTTGGACATAGGCATAGGTATGTAAATACAGATATTTGTGTGTGTGTGTGTGTGTGTGTGTAACTTTTTAGCTACAGTTGGAAATACCTGTAATATATAAAGTTGGGAAAGACATGTGATTTAATAGTCAGCATATCAACCAACAGTTGATAAGTTCTAATAACATCCCTATGTCAAAGAAAAGGACTATCCTCCATTCTGAAATGAAATAAAACATAATAAACCATGCCACCAATCAAAAAATTCTTTCAAGGGGCCAGCCTGTTAGCACAGTGCTTAAGTTCAGCCTACTCCACTTTGGCAGCCTGAGGTTCACAGGTTCGGATCCCAGGCACAGACCTATACCACTCATCAAGCCATGCTGTGGCGGCGTCCCACATACAAAATAGAGGAAGATGAGCACAGATGTTAGCTCAGGGCCACTCTTCCTCAAGCAAAAAGAGGAACACTGGCAACAGGTGTTAGTTCAGGGCCAATCTTCCTCCAAAAAAAAAATAAATTCTTTCAAGGTTTCCACTTTTATACAGCCACTTTTAATTAAATATTAAAGATGCTTTTTCTTAAATGCCAATATTTAAAATGAATAAAAAGGTTTTATTATCCTATTCATTTTCATCTTTAATTACTGTTATTTTATTTTTTTACTATTTTTTTAATTTAAAATTTAGTTTCACAATGTCTCTAGACTTGATGGATTTTTGTGGCCCATCTGGGAAATGCAACACCTATTTTTGAATGGTGCTGAGAAAGAGACGATTGTATTGAGAATGAGGAAAACAGCTGGAAAGTATATTGATACAAAATAGTAAAAAATACAAAATATTGCACAAAAATAGTAAAAAATTTTCCATTTTGGAGAGGAAGGCATTAATAAGATCTTTATCACCTTATAAGACTAGCTAATAACCTAATAATTCAATGATGAAATTATCTTTCTATATATCTTCTTTGAAAAGTATATATTTTTGCTTTCACTAATTAAAATAATTTTACGTTTTCATCTTACAAAAAAAGATTAAAAGTGATGTCAATTATTATGTAATTAACAAAAGCTAAGTGACTTTAAGCAAATTACTTAACCTCGCTGTGCTCAGTTTTCTCAGTTTGAAAATGAGAGTAACAATGGCATCTACTTCATGGAATTGTTGGGATAATCAAAGTTCACAATGTATAAACTTATAAGGAGGCACTCGATAAATGGTGGATTTTTTAAATTATTTAAATAGAACAGGAATACACAGACACACACAATCAGCAACGACGCCTGGCCAGCAAGTAGGCAAACTGTGTGAGATTATTACCCCGGAAGTTAATCATATTGGAGGAATGAATGCGCCTGCGAATGGCCTCTAGTGTATTCCTCGTAACTTTCAGAAGAGCATCCATATTTTGATGGTTGAAATGAGAGAGCAACTCGCGGGCTTCTTCCTCTAACATCTCAGTCTCTTTCTTCTTTCTCGTGATGGTTGTCAAAGGCATGAGGCCTGCCCCAGCATTACGGGAAGATGTCAAGGTGTCGGAATTTCCTTCTTCTCTTTTTGCTGTTAGAAGATGAGAGAGATTGAGAGAGAGGGGGAGAACCATCTATTACAATTAAAGAGAAGAAAATTAAGATAAATTACATGCAAGTTTAATAACAAATGTCACACTTCTTAGAAAGTGAAGCCACCAAAGGATAGGAAGAGGAAATGGGGGCACCAGGTGGACTGATGGAGGCCTCTCCTCCTCAATGTGAGGAAACAGGAGAGGCAGGAGCTATGGCTGAAAAAGCAAGACTGGGCCTCAGGGACCTGGGTTCTTGTGTTCTCTCTTCTACCAACAGCCAAAAAACCTTGGGAGAATAACTTCCCTTCTCTGCCTCTCAGTGTCTTCATCTGTCCCACAAAAGATTTGCTCTAGTGTAGACGTACTCTAACGGGAATTCCAACCTATAATCCATCCTACCCTACTGATAAGGTGAAAAAACATGCACTCATACCTACATGCAAAGAGAGCTAACAAGGGCCAATGCAAAGTACATGTTTGTAGAGTTTAACAAAAAATAATGGGAATTAATGACATAGAGTCATTACAATATGCTCAGAATCATAATTTCAGATTTATAAATGTCCTTATAAAATTGGGAGAGTGTTTATAGAAGCACGAAATCAATTGCAATGTAGAAATTAAATTTTAGTTTTCAGCAATGTCCTGGAAAAAGACCTTCCATGACCCCATCTCTTACCTAAACTTTCATTTTTTGAATCAGCACCATTCACAGTGGATACTTTTTCACTTTCTTCTTTAGATGGAACTTCCACATCCAGCAACATATTTATTAGCTCATTGACTGCTTCCTCCACTAATGAGCTTCTACAGTGCAGTGTCTGAGCACCATTTACACAGAGGTCCTACGGGAAAAAAATTAGCACAGTGTCATATTTGCTTACCTAGCTCTTGCAAACGCATCAGGAATGGTAGTAATGCCCTAGGTTCAGCCTCCACATGAGATTTTGGTCTCCAACAATGCTTGGCCACACCTCCTACACTAACCCAGACCAGGCATCCTGTAAAGGAACGTGTTAAATATAAGAGAACAAATTGGAGCAGCGTGGATGGACCAAAACTACACTTACTTCTCCAGCAGTGGAGGAAATAACTCCAAAAGCCATGAGCAGCCTCTCTTCCCATGAAGTTTCTTTCATTTAACGTAAATCTGCTCCAGCCAGCCTTCCTTCCCTCCTCACCTTTGCCAATAAGCCACAGGCAACTCCTAATTAATTTCAGATATTCCCCTCTCCTGCAACTAGATGACACATTTCTCACGAATGAGATTAAGTAAATATAAACTAATGTGATTCGGGCACTATGATCAATTCTGTAGGAAGACAGATAGATAGATAGATAGATAGATAGATAGATAGATAGACAGACAGACAGACAGACTAGAGATAGATGATGTAAACAGTAAGTGATTTACCACCTAGTTGGAAAATAAGCTTATGAAGCAATGGACTCGGTTGGTCACAGTCTTCAGCTCCATCCAAGTTCCACCATTATTCATCTCGAGACTCTAATGTGCTCATGGACCATCCATTCCAATATCAGCTTCACAATTCATTTACCTCCTTATCACCCAGAACCTTCACCTCCACTCCACTGCAGGGCACATGACATTTTGATGCCATTAACACAGGAACATTTTGATGTGTCCTGAAACTATTAAACTTCTCTGTCATCAAATAAAGTATAAAATAACAACTTCACTTCCAACTCAGAACTTCACCCAACTACCAATCTCCATCCCTAGCCCAGAGACAGTTATGAAAAAGAGACAGAGATATTTATGAAAAAATCAGAGATTGAGTAAGGGATGGGATAGAGTTAGCATCATCCAGTAACAAGTATAGACTCTGACACCAAACAATGTGAGTTTAAATCCTAGCTCTGTGTGATTCTTGGAAATCCTCTGGGCCTTGATTCCCCATCTGCAAATGGCGATTATGGTAGAACCCACCTTAGATTGTTATCAGTATTCCATAAGATAATGTTCATAAAATGCTAACAACGGTGCCTGCCGCAAAGTAAATACACAAGAAGTGCTTCTTATCATTATTGGTCAGCAAATCACATATAACCATAGAACCTATGTTTGCCAAGCTTGTTCATCTCATTCCATATAAACTAGCACCTTGTTCTCTGAGAGATCACTAGTATATCTTCTTTGTGTGTGTGAGGAAGATTGGCCCCAAGCTAATGTCTGTTGCCAATCTTCCTCTTTTTGCTGAGGAAGATTAGCCCTGAGCTAACATTCGTGCCCATCCTCCTCTACCTTGTACGTGGGACGGCACCACAGTATGGCCCAATGAGTCTGCGCCCAGGACTCGAACCCACAAATGCCAGGCTGCCAAAGCAGAGCACGCGAACCCAACCACCAGGCCACTGGCCCAGCCCCAAGATTGCTAATATATATATTTTTTTTTTTTTTTTTGAGGAAGATTATCCCTGAACTAATATCGGTTACTAGTCCTCCTCTTTTTGCTTGAGGAAGACCGGCCCTGAGCTAACATCCATGCCCACCCTCCTCCACTTTATATGTGGGACGCTGCCACAGCATGGCTTGATGAGCGATGTGTAGGTCCATGCGGGGGATCCGAACCTATGGATCCCAGGCCACTGAAGCACAGCACGTGAACTTAACCACTATGCCACTGGGCCAGCCCCAAGATCACTCATATTTTTCAAAGTCTGCATCTTAAATCCTCTGACTCTACACACCCTCTCCTAATGACATGACTTCTCACTTCAACCACTCTTTTGCCAATGTCCTTTACTTGATGACTCCTTCAGCCTTCCACTGCCCCAGCCAGGAGAAACCCAGCCCAAATGAACCAGAGGACGTACTGTCTCCACTTGCACACACAGGTCATGGCAATGCAGGTTCTTGGCATTGGAAATTCATGGTTCCTGAACTCAAGCAGGCCCCAGTGCTACCCAGGAGTCATTCTATATGACTCCAGTCACGTTTCTCACCAGGCCCCATAACAGCTGTGTCCTCTAATCCCCATGTCCCCAAATCTTTACACCACCCACCTCCATCGTACTCAGCTAATAACCTTGATTTCTCCAGCACAAAGCAAATGGAGGCCATGACACGGGAATCAGCCAACTCCCTGATCCCATGCCCTCACCCAGAAGACAAACCAGCCTCCATCATTAATCCCTTTTCCTCCTTTTGTAGTGAATGCAATGTTTCTCCTTCTATTTAAGAATAACCACACAATCTGAGTTCTAAACCACAGACTCTCCTGCTTCGTCAGAGACCATGCTTACCAACCATTCCCTTTCTCCTTCTCTACTTAATTTCCCCCCTCAGCATATAAACGTACTCAATGAACTTCAGCTCAGCATCTTCCTCCAGCTACCATAACAAGCTTCTGCCTCAGGGCCTTTGCACTTGCTAGCTTCTCTGCCTAGAATCCTCTTCCCCAAAGATATTCACGTGCCTTGCTCCCTCACTTCCTGTGTTCACATATAATCACAGAAGTCATCCCTGACCATCAACATAAAATCACAACTCTCTATCAGGTACTTCTTTTCTCCATTACCTTCAATTTTTCTCTGTTGAACTTATCATCACCTGACACATTATTTATTGGCTTTTTTGTTTGTTTGTGTTTTTGTTTCCTCTGCTTGAAAGTGGGCTCCACGATGGCAGGGATCTCCTCTGTTTTGTTGACTGCTGTATCCCCAGCAGTGATTTGCATAGGAGCTCCACAAAATTTGTTGAAGGAATAAATGAATTATAAAAAGTAAACAAATTCAAGAAAAATCATTCATTTATATTGGTAACCATTCATTTATATTGGTAACCATTCATTATATTGGTAATCAAAAATGCAAATTAAAATTAGGTTCTATGATTTTGCTGCTTAAACTAAAATTTATAAATTATAATAATTTATAATTTATTATTATAATTTATTATAAGAGAATTTATCATATTTATTTATAATGAATATTTTATTTATTATATAATCTATTGTAATAAAATTTTTATTATAACTTATTATAATTATAATAAAACAGTGTTTGTTGGAAGATAGTGAAATTGGTACTGTCACATTGCTAGTGGCATTGTAAGTTGATACCACCCTTTTGAAAAGCAACTTGGCTACAAATATTAAGAGCCATTAAATGAAGCCACATTCTTTGATGCAATAATCTTACTTTGGAGGAGAAAATAATCCTAAAGAGGAAAAAAGCATGATACATGTAAATATATTCATTGCAGCTCTTGGCAAAATAGCAAAACTTTGGAAGTTATCTAAATGTTCAGCAACAAGAAACTAATAAGTAAATTCAGCAACAAGAAACTAATAAGTAAATTAAGATACAACAACTCAATAGAACATTCTGAAGGCATGATTAAAATGGTGGCTATGAAAGCCATACAGCAACATGAAAAATACTTTGTGAAGAAGAGTCAAGTGGGGAAAAAAAAAAAAACCACTATTCAAAATCTGCTGTATCTATGGTAGGGATCACAAATTTATTAAGAGGCATGTAAATAGGTAAGGCATCAAAATTATAACAACAGTGGTGTGATTGGTAAAAATGCTATTTTTTCCAATTTTTTTAAATATTCTAAAACTTGCTTTTAAATTAAAAGAAATGCATTTTTATAAAACAATCATAAGAATAGAGGTAATATTAAAACCATGGAGCCAAGTGATTTCTCGGAGGGGGAAAGCATGACAAATAAGTGGGAGGGACAAGGGGGAGTTTGGGGTCTACCCACAGTTAGTGAGTCTGACAGGAGGAACCAGAAATTTCTAAAATGTAGACACTTAATTTTGATTATATAATAATAATTTAATATAAACTGAAGACTACCACACATGCAGAAAAGCGTCAACACTGTAAGCTGAGATTGTTATCCTGCTTGCGAGGTTGGTCTTTGGCTGGCATCTGGGAGCTTGGATTTCGGGAGGATTCCCACAGTTCCCTAGCTGACAGTGGCTCGCTGTGCCTGGACTGCCGGTGCAGACAGTGTGGTTTATGCTGAAATCCTGCTTTCCTTTGGGGTGTCTGGAATTTGGGTCCATGCTGGGCAGAGGGTGCCTATGTGACAAGACCCAACAAGCACCTTGGGTGTCGAGTCTCTAATGGACTTTCCTGGGCAGAAATGTTGCACACGTGTTGCTGCATTTTTGTTGCTGGGAGGAGAGAGCTCTGTGTGGCTCATGAAAGAGAGAGATCTTAAGGAAGCCCGCATACGCGTTCCTCTAAACTCCACCTGTCTTTCCCTTATGGTCTGACTGTGTATCCTTGCTACGTTGCAGTAATAGGTCTTAGCCTTTAGTGCAACTAGATTCTGAATTCCATGAGTCTTTCTAGTGGGGATGGTTTTGGGGACTCCTGACATACACATTACAATCACCATTGATGAGTTCTTATAATCAGGATGCCCACTGGAAACACTGTAGATGATGCTCAAGTGATTTTCCCAAGGGGCACTTCATGGAGCACTGCTCCCAGGATCTCAATCCTGGCACAGGGAAGAAAGTGTCCCATTTGCAAATGTTTGAGAAATAATAGGTTAAAGAAAGTTAAATGGGCTCTTTTCCAGGAGACCTTTCAAAGACCTTTATTTTAATATGTTAATGTGTAAAGAATCTGTAAGAGGAAAGGAGGGTACAGTTTTTACCCTAAGCAGTTTGAACACAGACCCCACCTCTCCCAGGTTTCCTAGCAACAGCTCCAGGACCGTGTGCCACAGAACACCAGTTTGGGAAATGCTGCTCTACGAAAAGTTTAAAGAAGAAATTCTATCCAGAAGATATTTAAAACAATTGTTTTATTAATTAATCTTAGCTTACTAAAAGCTCTTCAGCAAAATAGCTCTATTCTTCAAAAAATGGTAACATGAGAAATGTGTTCTACAGCAATTTCTCTTCTGCTGATCTGAAAAGAAATGATTTGTTCCTCATGTCTAAGGGACTCCTTAGATACATCCCTCTTCATTTTCAAATTATTGTCAGAAAGCTCCATGTTTGAATCACATCTATCACAGACCAATCATGGGGAGAGAAAAAAATGTAATTTGTGCTTCAAAAATGCCCTTTATAGAAAAATGAATCACAAAAAAAACATTAAAATAAAAACATCAATCTTCTGATAACCTTAGTCATTTGGAGAAACTCTTCGCAGGTAAGTGGCTCCTCCTGGGGGAGTTGGCAAAGAGGTGTGCTACTCATCTCTTCTAGAATGGCGTCGATGCGGAACTCTATCAGATCATTGACCCTGTCAAGCAGCAATTCCAGGTCCTCTTTGGAAAAAATCAAGGTGAATAAAAGAGATTAAGCATTTTGTTTTAAAAAAATAAATCAACACGATTAAACTGCAATCGCAAAAGTAGGATTAAAGTCGCTCCACACTGCAGTTTCACACCTGGTTTTCCCACACTGTTCTTTCTTGAACTGGTTTCCCAGCCTTCTCAGCATGCCTAACTCTGACTCAGACTGGAAGATTCACCTCAAATGCACCCCCCACCCCCAGGAGGTTTTCTGTGAATCTGCATGTATTCAAATGGCCCCCTCCTGCTGTTCTGGCATTGCCCTCTGAGTATCCTTCCATCTCTGTGTATACCACATTGTCTGCTCATTGTCTTATCTTCCTCCAGAATTCATCTTTTTTATTCTTGCGTCTTCAACACTTAGCCCAGTGCCTCTTCTACAGGAGTATTCAACAGATATTATTGAAGTGAAATTCCCTCAATTTTTCTTTTACTGTTACTATCATAAGGTATATTTTTTTAAGCTGTGCTCAAGTAATATTGAGCACTAAGTTCCATGGATGGAGAGGCCAATTCTGAAGGAAATTAACAATTTTACATCAAAAGTAGAAATGATGGTTAATGGACCTCCACCTAAGGGGTAAATAGATTTTTCAACAGATATTATACAGTAAATTCTCTTTTTTTCCTGATACTACTTTCTTCTAAGAAATACAGTTAAAGTCAAATACAGAAAAGCCCATGTTATATACTCATGATGTATCAGAGATGTAAACACTTCCTTAAAAAAGTAACTTTACTTCCTAAAGATTAAAGACCTAAAAGTTTTCAATCATTTCTAAGCTAATTATTAAGGAGGCTACTCAAGATACCAAAAAGTTCTGCCTACTAAGCTTATTCACTACTAAAAGAGAGCCAATGCTTTTATTTAAGCATCTGACCTCAACAAAACTCTTTACTATTTCTGATTCTTCAAAGCTTCTTCAAAGATATCTGTAGTAAGCTGATGTCTTTGAAGAAACTGACTGATTCTTCAAAGCATCTTCAAGGATATCTGTGGCCCCTTAAGGATGTCCACATCCTAATCCCCTTCAAATACTACCTTATATGGCAAAGGGGACTTTGCAAATGTGATCAAGTTAAGGATATTGAAATGTGGAGACTGTCTTAGATTATCCAGGTGGGGCCAAGTTAGTCATAAGGGTCCTTATAAGAGGGAGGCAGGAGAGTCCGAGTCAGACAGAAGAAAATGTGACTACGGAAGCAGAGGGACAGAAAGGAAGAGATTTGAAGACACTATGCTGTTTTGAGCCAAAGGATGTAGGTGGTCTCTGGAAGCTGAAAAGCATTCTCTCCCTAGATCCTCCAGAAGGAACCATCCCTGCTGATACCTTGATTTTAACTCCTTAAGCCTTATTTTGGACTTCTCACCTCCATAACTGTGTGATGTTAAGCCACTAAATTTGTGATAACTTGTTGCAGCTGCAATAGGAAACTTATACAACAACTATGCATAGATTGTGCAAAATCATGTCAATAGAAGTCCTGTGTGATATATCGAAGAGTGGTCAATACTCTCTTAAATGCACAATACAAATAACCACCTGTAAATAGAAAGGTTGGGTCACTAACCCAATAAAGAATCCAACTGTTGATAAGACTCAACAGTTTGCCTCCCAAGGAAACTTAATCTTTGTTTGACCTCAGTTCCTTTGCTTAAATTACAAAAAGAAAACAGAATCAGAGAACTAACAAGAGTTTCTTTAAAAATGACCTTCTTGTCTCCAGCTAACACTCTAATAAAACATTCAAATTGTTAACACTCTAATCCTAATATTCTCTAGGGAGATGTTACTAAAGTCTACCTTAGTAGCCTGTTCTAATTTGGTTGCAATAACTCTTATTACAAAGTTTTTACACATTTTATAAATGCCTCCTTTTAGAATTTTAGCCAATTTCTTCTTATTTTTAGATCCTGAGGAGATATATTTTGGAAAGAATATTAGCTTAGAGGCAAGGAAACTGGGTGCTAAACTCATCCTTACTACTTACATCTATACAACATTAGAAGCCATTTAACATCTCTGGATCATAGTTTTCCAACTTTAAACTGAAGGTCTTGTTTAAGATTATTTCTACAATCTTCTGCACTCCTATAATGCTATGGGTGTCTGATCGTGCATTTTATATTATTCGACCTTCAAACTTTAATGAGCCTGAAACACATCTCAATCTATCTAAAAATCTTTTTACAATTTGTCTTTGAATCCAGCCCCAACCTATGAGGCAAAACAAAGATGGCAGGAGGGTTCAATCACTAATTCCTCACTCCACTACCCCACCCAATCCAGCATCTCTCAAATATTCTTGAGTATACAGCACTTGGTAAATTAAACAGCTGGACTCTTCTGAGCTCTAAGTTATTTAGAAGGTACAGTGAAAACCTACCAAGGAGATAAGCTCTTGACAACTTAGGCTATAAATAGACTAGGTACTACTTTAGCAGCCACAAATACAAGACCAAGAGAAAGACTTGAGGAAGAAAGAGAAAGAGAGAGAGAGGGAGAGGAAGAGGGAGAGAAAAAGGGAAAGGGAGAGAGAGAAAAGGTTGATAAAAGGAGGCATCATGATAGGTATCTAGAAAAGAGCCCCAGGAAGGGGTGACCCAGAAATGAGGTGATGGGATCAAAGGGTAGGAATGGGGTTAGGGAGGCAAAGACACAGAAAAAGACTAACTGTATAAAACTATTGCAATTATGAATCCATAAGTGTATGAGTGTCTGGTACGCACCCAACAAAATACAAAAGAAATATAAGAAACAGCCTGATTTTCACGCCCTTTGCAGTCAGTTTGGGGAGAAAGATGGAACTCTACTAAACCATTAGAAGAAATAAAAATATACGGTCTCTGGCCCCAACCGTAAAACAATAGGAGGCCACTGGAGGAAATGGTCCCACACAGTAGAACACTCCGAGTGGGCTTCTTGGGAGTGGGACTTACTCTGGTCTATAAAACGTGGAGAAAATTGGGCCATGAAGAGAGGAAGGACAACGCATAGGAGAGGAGAATGTCTAAGTCTTCCCAGAAAACCCGCTCTGTTACCACATTCCAAACTGTGTTCCACTGCCCACCACAGAAGGTCTATAAGCTGTTAATATGTTTTCCTAGAAGGCAGCCAAGGAATTCTGGGAAATGCTACCTGCAAGAGCCCACTTTTGGAGACCTAATGGACATTGGCACATTAAAGGCTCTGAAAAGTCCTCCAGAAAAGAAACCTGCCTGACTTTGCTTAATCTGGATTTCCCAGACTTATCTGAGCCCAGACTCCTTTTTTGCAACATACCTGTACACATTCTGGGAAATCATATTTTATGGAATATACCACCTTACATATATTTTAAAGCATATTATATCCCTCATTAAGAAAAAATATTTGCTTGAAATTTTCCCATATATCCTATTGTTCAGCATTCTACTCTGTCCAAATCTCCAATCTTTCAAATCAGGGTCTCAAAACACCCTAACCTACTAATATAAAAAGCTGAATGATTCTAAAGATCCTTTAGATTCTAATGTCCAGCAATAAGTATAATTTTAAAATGTATTTAATGTCTGGGGATAAAATTAAATAGTGAATATATATAGTTTCCAGGAAATTAATTAATTCATATATTTTGGTAAAATTCCTTATGGAACAGCTTAAGAAAAACACTCCTCATTTCATTATTTATAGCACAATATCTATAAGAAATTATACAATAGACGTTAAGAACTCAGCCTTTCGAATTGAGAAATAATAACCATTTAGACAGACTTACTGATCTTTGCAAAAGTGGTTTTTAAGTACACCTCAATGTTCAGTGATGTCCAGGTCAGTGCAGCCAGGCCGGGCTGGAGAGCTTCATCCACTTTGGCCAAATGAGGGACCATCAGTTGCTCTATGGTGGGGGGCATTTTTGACTTCACTCTCTGATACTCAGCCAGCATCATCTGCAACGAAATGGGGGTTAAAAAATCAATTAATATCTCACTTGTAATATCTATTAGTATCTCATTTTTTTATCCAAAAGGATGACTTTTATTTAGGGTCCAGCTGTAGGGCTCCAATAGCAACCTGGCAGGTAGAGCGACCAAAACGAAATAAGAATAGACTAGAAGATGAGAAATATTTCCATAAATACAAATTCCTAATCCAATAAAATACAACTGAGGAGGAGAGAAGAAGAATTTAAAGGAGTTTCTCCACCCCCAGCCCCCTATCCAGCACAAAACGGGAGGTGACTTCTGAGGTTAAGTGACTTTTCTAAACCAGGTTAAGTCATGTTGTTAGTGCCTTAGACTGCGCATCACTAAGCATATTCATTCAACTTTGTACACTGGCACCACGTGCTTCCTGCTCCTCTGGGCACTTCCTGTGGACCATACTCATCACCCAGTGTCAGAGTCACCGGAAGTCTGTCTCAGCCCATTGCAAGGACTATAGACCAAGTCTTGATGCAAGACCCAAAGCATACAAGGAATCAGAAAGCGCTGTTGATGTCAAAAAGAATCATGCCTTTAAATATCATCCATATGCCAAAGAAATGCAAATTTACATCTCCAGCCCAGATCTCACTCCTGAAGTCAAGATTCATATATGGCAACAGCCTACTCGATATCTCCACTTGAATATATAACAGACATTTCAAACTTAACATGTCCAAAACTGAAAGTTTGTTTGTACCCCAAACCTTCTCTGCCCACAGCATTCTCCAACTCAACTGATGGCAACTCCATTCTTCCAGCCCTCAGGCCAAACCTGCAGTCATCCTTGATTCCTCTTTCTCTCACACTCACGTGCAATCCACCAGGATATCTTGCTTGCTCCGTATTTAAAAGAGATCCTATATCTGACTTGCTTACCATATCTAGTGCTACCACCATCTTTGAATCTCACTTAAATTATTGTAAAGGTCTACCATTGTCTCCCTGCTACCACTCATGCCCTCTACAGCCTATGCTCAATTTAGTAGTAACAGTGATCCTTTCAAAATGTAAGTCACATCATGCCCTTCTACTTACATGGGCACATGGCTTCCCATCTCATTCAGGTCTACAAGTTCTCATGTTAGTCTGAAAAGACCTACCCAATCTGGTCCCCATTACTTCTCTGATCTCATCTCCAATCACTCTTCTCCTCTCTTACCTGCTCCTGCCGTAATGTCTTCCTTGATGGTCCTTAGCCTCAGGGCCTTCACATCTCCCTCAAATAGTTACTCAAATGCCACCTTCTCAATTAGGCCTATTTAAGATTGCAAACCATCACCAAAACCCACCATACTCTACCTCTTTGCCCTCTCTATTTTTTCCATAGCACCTACCACTTTTTACCTATTTATAATATTCATTGCTTCTTTTCTGTCATACCCAACTAGGATATAAGGACAAGAATTTTGTCTAAAACAGTCCAAAGCACATAGGAGATAATCAATATTTCTCTAATTAATTAATTAGTTGTTATCAGAAGGAGCATTTGTGATCAGAAACTCATGGATTCTGGTGCTCTATTGAAAATTTACCTGTTGTATAATGTTGAACTGTGTCAGTATTTTGCTCATATGTTACCATTTTCAAATAACACTAATAGTCCTTCCAGCCTACCTTTTAGGGTAATGTCACTATTAACTAATTATAAGAAAGTAACTTTAATGCACTTCTTAAATACTATTGTTTTAAGCTCATATTTGTAATGCACATGTTGTTATTGCTTTGTCATTAGATCAATGTTTCCCAAAGTGTTTTGCCTGAAATACCAGCCTCAAGAGATTCTGTAAGAAAAATGGTCTCTGGATGGGCAAGTTTGGAAAGTGCTGTATACAATATCTCCCCTCTTGGACGGTCAATTAATATTAATGATTCTGAGAAAACTACAAGAAGGAAATAAGAAGCCCAATGGACTTGGTGAATCATGTTAAACCCAACATTTCCCAAATGGGCCACATAATCCTTTCTTCATATAATAGTTTTCCACAATTTCTATATATCCTTTCAATTTCCATGAAAGCCACAAAACTTCCAGCCATTACATCAAAGAACCAGACATGAGAATGAGACTATCTTGGTCCTTCCGGATCGAACATTTAGCAGCTGAACTAAACAACCTTAGTCAATGCCACATGGAACAGAAGAATCACCTAGCCAAGCCTTGCTTAAATTCATTAATCATAAAATCATGAGATATAATGAAATGGTTGTTTTAAGCCACTACATTTTGGGATTGTTTGTTATAGGCAACAGATAACTGAAACAGCAATTCTGTGGACAAAATTATTACTAGCAATTTTATATTTTGATAAATGTTATTTCTTAGTGAAAAGACTATTTTCTTTGTAAATACGTAGATTTACCAAGGGATTTTCCTAACACGCAAGAAGTGTCTAAAAGGGAATCCCAACATGCTGGCTAGTATTTGATGAGCCCACATTTGAGGAATGCCTGTCCATTGCCAATATTAACATTTTAATATAACATGAAGGAGTGGGAAAACAGTAGACCACAAGTCTGAGGTCTGGTCCTACTTCTGCCACCTACTAGCTATGAGACCTTGTAAGTCATTTAACTTCTCTAAGCCATGGTTTTGTCATCTATAAAATAATATAATAGTATTCTGTCCCAACAATCTAACATGGTTGCAGAAAAGATCAATGGAATAATGAACATGAAAATGATTTAAAATGTAAAGCATCATGCAAATGCATGACCTGATTGGCCTTATCCTCTGACGTTAACCACTATACAACTGTAACAACAGTTTCCATGTTGTCGAGTCTCATGGCTGCATCTCTGACCTCATCTTGATCATCCTCTGGGCAGCATTTGTCACTGCTGACCAGTCCCTCCCTCATGAGGCTTTTCTTACCCTTGGCTTCCTTGACACTTGGTTTCCCCCCACCTCAAAGGCCAATCCTTAGTTTTATTGGCATATTCATCCTCTTCTATCAGATCTGTTAACATTGGAGCAACACAGAGTTTGGTCAAGGCCCTCTACTCTTCTTTATCTACATTCTCTTCCTTGGCGATCTCATCCAGGACAATGACTTTAAATAACAACTATATTCTGATAACTCTCAAAAGTATGCCTTCAACTTTGACTTCTCCATTCAACTCCAGATTAATTGCATGGAAAACTTCATCACTTGGATATCTAAAAATCATCTTATACTTAAGATGAGAACTATTGATTCCCTCCTATCTCCTAAAATAAACTAGTTCCAGTCTTTGCCATCTCCATAAATGGAACTTCTATTCAGAGCCACTGCATGCTATCGAGCAAGTTGTGCAAAATACAGCCTACACAGCAATATAGAATAGACCTACTTTGAGTAAATCCATTGAGTTGCTCACATCAAAAAAGCAGGAATTATCCTTGAGTTCTCTCATAACCTGCCTGTTGACATAACTCTCTAATTCACTGATCTGTTCTGCTGCCATCCTAGTTCAAGCCACCATCATCTCCATCCTGAACCAGTGCAACAGCCTGCAAACCGGCTTTACACCAACACTGTTACCCCCTCAAAATCTATTCTCCACCCAGCAGCAAGAATGATTTGTGTTGTAAAAGACACCATGCCATTTCTCCCTCTCAAATTCCTCCAACGGCTTCCTGGCGCACTCAAACTTATAAGCTCAGTTTACAAGATCTGTAATGATCTGGCCAACTCTACAGCCTCACTCCATGGCACTCTCCCCCTCACTCACCCCACTCAATCATCCCGGGGCACTTTATAGTCCTCAACAGTGACCACTACCATATTTTTTTAATGCAAACTGGAGATAGCTGGGAAGGGGGAAAAATCAAGGTACTATACCTTCATGCTACTGAAGTTCTTTTTGTATATATCCCGTTTCCGAAAAAGGGCAGCTGCAAATGGCGAAACTTCCAGACCCATCTGTGACATGCACTCTGTTTCTCTAAATAAGGTTAATATCTGAGGATCAAAGTTTACAAACAATTCTCCCGTGCCTGGAGCCTTCACCAATAAAGAAGCCTCAAGTCCTCTGTGAATTTCTTCACTCTGTGAGAAGAGATCAACATTATTACTATTAGAAAGTTCAATGTATACACAGGGTTTCTAGCTTGGCCATTTCTGGGAATGAGGATCATTAAGTGTTCTTCCACGGATTTGAGTTTCTCAAATTAAAGACAGTGGGGTCACTCATTCTTCTCCTAAATTCATTTTCAGAAAAAGGCCTTCAATTTTTGGTAGTAATGTTGCACAGTTGATTCAACAAAACGCTTAGGTCATGATTCTTACACCTGACAGATAAGTGGATACTGCAATAATGGTGACTTTTCAAAAGCCATTTAGATCCCTGATACCTTCATGCTTACTCAGTTATTTTTCCTAATAAAAGTTTCATAAAACTTATTAAACTCAGTTTTCATTTATCTAGAAAAGCAATGAACACCACTATGGAGACTTCTCTGTCATTGGCTCAGACACCAAAAATTGAACCAGGAAAATGAGGTACTATTTTAAAGACCTTGTAAGGCTGAATTTTATCCTCCAAAATACTTCCTGCCAATCTACAAAGAAATACAAGTGTTGATAGAGTATGAAATATAATTTGATTAACCTACTATGGCCAAAGAAAATTTAAGACTTTGTTTAACAGACATACTAGTGTTTACTGACACATTAAGGAACTTAATGGAGGAAAAAAAGAACTAAATCCTAACCAACCAGGTAAATGAACCAATAAACAGGATCTTCTCCCTTAGGAGTTTGTAAATTAAATACAAATGAGTTTTTGTTACCTGGCTTATGATTTTTTTTTTCAAAATTAATCATTATTTTTCTTCATGGACATATTACACTCTTTGATTACCTACATTCAACCAAACCTATCTTATAAAATATCTGCAAACCCAACTTTCTATGGAATAAAACTGTCTACCGCTAGCAGAGGGTTTCCCACTGATTTGACAATGGAGACACCTTTCAAGAGTATAAATGCAGAGACGCACTTGCTGAAGCCACGCCCTGTGGTAGAGAACCTCAAACTCCAGGAGGACCTTGGCCACCCTGTTGTAACTGCGAATCACAGGTTTGGCTTCCGCCGTCCGCAGCACGGCTGGGTGCTCCTGCAAGAGCTGCATGGGTTGCTGAATCCTGCGGAAGAGCTGCCGGGCCCACAGAATCTTCCCCGCAACGGGAGGCTGGTCCCGGGCCAAAGGAGGATCGCATTTCTGCTTTGTATACAGCTTTGAGATCACATCAATGTCAGCCCCGTAGTGTTCAAGGATACGCCGGTATTTGTCATCAATACCAAGATTAGGTATACTCAATCTGATTTAAAAAAAAAGTGAAAGGTTTGAATTAATGGGAAGACACCTAGCAATCTTCCTTATTAAGATTTATTTTAAAATATATGCGAATGGAAGAGAATGAGATATTTATTTGGTATGTTAGAAACATCGAAAGAGTATCAATCCACCAATCATATCTTAATAAAGTGGTTTTAAAAAAATAGTATCAATCCTTAAAATCTAAGCAAAGCTCATAACTTGGTAAGAATTTCTTCAAATTACTTAAACATTAAGTAATATTATGATAGGCAGTCTAAATGTCCTTCAAAGCTCAGAGGAAATTAAACAAATCCTTAATCCTCTGAAGAAGTTAAAAACTGTGACCTTGTTATCCAGATTGTCAAGAGAGGATTTTCTTTCCATTAGAATATGAAATAATAATGATAAAATAAACTAAACTGTATTCATATTACCCCAGTTTTAGAAAATAAAACTTATAAAAAGGTTTCCAGTTTTTACCGTTCAAATTTCTTTAACATACTTAGAGCTTGATTTGTGTTTTGAATCTTTTCAAATGTAACATCCATGAACTTCTGCAACTCATTCTAAAATAGAATAAAGTCTGATTATGGACAATGAATTAGCACTGCAAAAAGTTCTATTTAGCAACGAGATAAGAGAGCTCCCCATTCTCTACAAACACATATAATATAGGATAAAATATAACAGAAAATTTAACATTCACCTGAGCTTGAAAGAAAGATAACTGCCCAGAAACCAGAACAAAGAGGGACCAGAAAGTGAGAGCACTCGGGGGTTGGCACATGGCGGGCTCCAGGGGTACTGGGCCAGATACAGGGCCTGGGGATAGGGGCTTTATCACAATGTGGGTAGAGCAACTGTGGGGTCCTAACACTCTTAACAGATCCTTGCAGAAAACCAGGGCCTTGAAGTGCTCTCCAGACCACAAAAGAGGGGTTAAATGACTGTCTACAAGTTGGGGAAAGCAGCAGGGGTTTGCCATCTGCCCAGGGCTGTGAATGAATAAAATAGGCTTCTAGAGTAGGATTCCACACTCTCTCTGTAAAGAGCAAGATAGTAACTCTCTTCAGCTATGCAGGACATAGGTCTCTTTCACTCCTCACCAACCACCACAGCGCTACGGCAGCCCTAGACGATCCATAAACAAAGAGGTAAGGCAGGATTTGACCTGTGGGTAGAGTTTGCTGAGCCCTACCCTAAAGCAACTGAAATCTATCTGTGCCACACCTAGATGAGAGGTTGAATTTATACTACACAGGAGATAAGAGGGGTCTAACCCAAGACATTAATGTAACAGCTAGTCCAGGATGGCAAAACCACTAGGACACGAGCAGAAGGAATGCAAAGCCACACTATAGAATCCCTTCAAGGGCCGTAAGACCTCTACAGGAAAATAAATAAATAAATAGCTCCTAAGAAGATAAGTTCAAAAAGATGACTTAGGGGCCAGTCCAGTGGCGTAGTGGTTGGGATCGTGTGCTTTGCTTCAGTGCCCCCGGGGCTTACGGGTTCGGATCCCAGGTGCAGACCTACACACCACGCATCAAACCATACCCTGGGAGCGTCCCACATAAAAAATACAGGAAGATGGGCACAGATGTTGGCTCAGGGTGAATCTTCCTCACCGAAAAAAAGAATGACTTAAATATCAAAGTTTTAAGCAATACTTCTTTCACAAAGCCCTCAAACCTATTTTCCAAAATGATCTTCATCATGGGTTGTCCTGAGAACCTCACATATCTTATATTATTGTACAATGTTGTCCCCCCCAAAAATTGCACCAAAAAACAAAACACATGATTTATTCTTTGTTCATTCTAAGATTTAGTACATAGTCATCATTAAAATCTAAATTGACTTAAATAAAAGGCAGAAAAATTATTTCATTATTTTCTATTTCATGCTTCAAGGTAAAGTTCTAATCAACCCTTTTTTCTCAATTTACTGTGCAGAAGTTTTGAGCCTCTACCATTCCAAAGAAATCATTAATTTTTGTAGTGATAAAACTGGAAAGCCAGTTGCATATGCAGTGAGAATTAGTACCTGGATGAGCTTGATTTTACATAAGTAATTTGTCAAGATAACCAGTGGGAAATATCCAGGAAATCCCTAGAAACCCTTAAAACTGGAAAGACATTGCTATCTGGGGGCAAGTAGCAATGCTCCCTGCCCCATTCAGCAAAGCCAAAAGTTGAAGGATCGCTAAGCCTATTATAATATTGCCTGCAATACTTCTCGCTACTTCTACTGAAAGTATAAATATTATACATATATAAGCTATATATATGCTTTATATATATGTACACTTTACATATAAGTACATATAAAATATATATATTTACATTTTTTTAAATGATGTTATTTCTTCTGCAAACACCACATCCTAGGATCGAGAAATTTTCCTGCACTACAGAACAGTACAGTTAGCCTACCTAAATAAACACTCAAATGTTTTCACTACATAAGAAAATCTCTATGTATAAAGTATGCACAACTAGAACATTGGCAATGCTCCCACTTCCTCCTTGAACTTCAGACATCAGCACATCTTTACTGAGCCCTAACACTTGGACCTGGTTTTTCTTGTTTTCCACCCTATGCCTTCACAAAGGCCTACACTGAGCTCTCTATGAGCATCTAGGACCTCAAATTAGTCTTCTTTTCTCTCTGAGCCTTAGGTCCATTCTTACAGTCTTTTGGAACCTAGACATCGAATCTTCATACTAGTCCCCTTATTAGTTCTGGGCTCTCAGCTCCGACTCAGTTTTCTCTTAACTCAGTCTGCCACCTCAAAAGCTTGTCCTTTACTAAGTCCTGCTGTAGTCAGTGGACGTCTTGACTTCCAATGGCCCACCTGGTTCCAATGTACTACCTCCCTTTGACCTGTAGTGCCAGCATGAACCCTAAATCTGGACAGGCTTCCAGGCTCTGATCCCCTTGACAGTGGAGCCCTGGACACAACCCTAATCCAGATCACTCATGTATCCCCCACCCTCCAGCCCTTCATCTTGGAGATGCCACAGTTACTGGTCCTCTCCATTCCTCGTCTCCAAGACGCATCCCCCTACTCACTCCATCCAGAGTAGTAGGAAGGTCAGTATTTTCACCCCTGCTTTATAAAGACAAGGGATGAATTCATGATAGTGGGTGCTTGATTTAAAGGAGAGAGAGTAGAAAGGTTAGTTAAGAGAAAGAGTATGGAGAAAGGGACAAAAGTCAAAGGAAAACAGTCATCCAAACAAAGAGAGAAGTGGACCATTTTTGACATGGAAAATAAGATGAATAATAGTGTTGAATTTTAAAAAAAAGAGAGAGATTAAGGAGAATAGGAACCAATGTCTACAACTAATGCTTAAAAATCAGGCTGTAGAACAATTATAAAGTTATATTCTTGGTATTATAAAAAGTGGGCATAGGTTTGAAAAGGTCTCCCTATCACACCCATTCCTCCTCGTTTTACTCGGAAAACGTAAACACTGTTCTAGCATCAAGGACAGCCTCCTCTCTGAAGCCTTTCCTAATCCCAGTCAAGTAGAAGTATGGGATTGTTTTCCTCCTGGGTTCACATCCTACCAAATGGGTTGTAGCAATTCTCAGATTCTATGCCCTGTTTTGCAGGCCTGTCCTCCCTATAAGTTTCTTTAGGACTTCTCTGGACTATGTCTTTTTATCTTTGAATCCTTACTTCCTGGTATAAAATCAGAATATTATACTTTTATAGTTTGTCATTTTAGCCACTATTTGTCCTTTTTTTAATGATATATTCATTATTCTGTTCTAACATATATGTACTTATATTTCAATTGTATCACATGTCTGCTTCTGTCTGACTGTGAGCTTCGAGGGCAGATCTACTAAATTTATTTCTGTATTCATAACCCATAGAATAGAAGCCCAATACATAATAGATGTACAATAAAGGCTTGTTTAATTGCAACAAATCTAGTTATTGTTATTTCATTACTCACACATTAGTTCAGCCAATATTCTTCGCTCTCCAATAATATAAAGTGCCATCCCCTAGGCTCTAGACACAAATAGTAATAAATACAATTCCTGCCCTCAAGGTGTTCACCATCTACCTATATCCCACATATAAGCTACTGAAGTACCATGTGATCAGAAACTGCTGGAAAACACAGATGAAGACTTGACACATGAACACTGACCGTGGAGCAGAGAATCAGGATCTGCCACTGTCCATCAATTTCCAACAAGAGATCAAGATCTATTGAGATCAAGTCCTTATGTCTGAATTGGCCCCCAAAAGAGGTCACTGCTTGAATTATTAGAGGCACTATATCTTCCCATCAAATGAAAAGTGTCTTATAGCATAATAGTTAAAAACTTGAATTCTGGAGCCAGGCTGCCTGGATTTAATCCCAACTCTACCACTTGTTATCTTTGTGACTTTGGGCAAGTCCCCCAACCTCACTGCACCTTCTTCCTCCTCTGCAAATGAAAATAATAAGAGCACCTGCTTTATAGGTTTATTGTGATGATTAAATGAAGTAATACGTATAACATACTTAGATCAGAACCTAACACAGAGAATTAGCTAGTTTTATTATGATTCTTTTCGCCATTGAACCCACTCCTCCAAAAATGCATCAGAGCCCTTTTTCCCTTGAGGTGTACCAATTTATTTCAAACCAAAAGTTCTGGATAAGAAGTAACAGAATGGCCATTTTCCTTTTATAATCAGAAAGGTACACACTTCGCAACTCACTGGGATAAAAAGAAGTCTGCATGTGAATTATGGTAGACACCTATTGGGTTGTCTCCCCACCTCACCCTCCTTGATGCCCCTCCTCCAACACAAACATTCCCAACCACCCCAGGGGGTCCCATCCCCCTGCTTTTACCACATGACCCCACAGGGTGGGGTTACACCCAGGGTGAGGCACCCCACTAGAACCAGTCAACCCAAACTCTTCCTTGTTTGGAGCTGGGGCTGGTCCTCTGATATGTTCTCAGAAGCTGAGGATAGCCATATGCCACTCATGTGGACTGGAAGTCAAGATGGCTGGTCCTCAGTGAGTAGGAGTAGGGGTAGGGGGTGGGAAAAGGAAGAGAGGAAAGGGTCCAGAGGCTGAGTCAGTCCTGGTGCTGCTGTTTCTAAGGCCAGCTGCAGCCCTGCCTTTGGGATCTGCCAGCCATCGCTGACCATTTGTTTAAGCTATCTCTGGTCATAATCATTGCTATAAAGTAACAAACAAATGGAAACAAATTTCTATATTCTAACAACAGTACGCTTCAACAGAAGATGAAAGTTAATTTTCTAAGAACTAAGATGGAAGACATGCAGAAGTCTGTGATTACAGATCATTATCCAAGGTATATTTATGACCCTTTCATCCATGAAAAAGAGCCTTCAGTTATTAATCTGAAATCACAAAATGCAGGCCGAGGTTGCTCTCAGTCACCTCCATGATGAAGACGCCTCTCCCTTCTGAATGGGTAATGATTAGCAGCATTATACAGACGGAAAAAATAAACACGCTACTGTCAACAGGAATTTTATTATACAACCTACATGTAGGTCATTAGTCTGCTTGCAAAACGCTTCATAATCTTGGTCAAAATCCATTTTCCGCTGGTCTAAGAAATTATAGTCCTTTTTCTTTATAGTGGCAACAATATCCTGAAAAGTTATGAAAGAAATAAGACAATATTTCAATATTCTTGCATTACTTAATTAAAATGACCTTTAAATATAAAACCTGTACAATCATTTTCAAAAAAATCAACTTAAAAGGAGCCTTATTTCTGTAATTACTCACATTGCTTAATGCCTATTACAGGCAGTATAATGTTGCCTACTGCCTTCAAAGAAACCATTTGGAAAGCATTTTCATGAGGTTTCATGTATTTTTAAAGAAAAATAAAAAATAAAAATCACATCTGAAAAGTAAGAAATGTGTATTTCTCTAAAAATTTCTTACTAATCACATCTGACGTAACAAAAAAGAAGCCCAGAGGAGAAGGTACTAGAATATTTTTTATTAAAAAGTTTGTCTTCTCAGAAAGTAAATAAGATGTTAACAGAACACAAACTTAGGAAGAAAATGATTACTTTATAATATCTACAGATGAAATACTATCTTCCAAGCCTCAAATGTCTTAAATAAAATGTCAAACCACAACCTACCATTTAAAGAATCTCTAGAATTAATTGCTTCCTCCTGCCCTGCAAAGCTGCAGTCTGTGACTACAAAAGTACAAATTAGGCAATTTAACTCCTTGCAAATACTATTACCCGAAGTTTTGTTTGCTCTGAATAATGAGCTATAATACTCTATGATCATTCTTAACCGGATTCTAAGCCATTCCCAAACTCGGAGCCCATACTGTTGACAAAGGCATATAATTTTTATGCAGAGTGGTGGCCCTCTTTCCACAATCGTCTCTTCAAAGTCATTTCCATTTAAACATCAGTTCAAATCTCTCAAGAGACAAAAGTGTATAAACTGCATAACTTTGTGAATCAAGTTTACTAGTTAAAACAACCTACTCTTGCATGCTGTATAACTACAAAATGAGTTCTATTTAGAAATTGTATATATAGAAGACGACCCATCGTGTTATATGAAATATGGAAAAGCTGCATTACATTTTAATGTGATAATTAAAAAGATCTGGGGACCTTAGAAAATTCTGCTCTATGATTGGACTTAATGGTCACTTAAGAGTAACGAGTTAAGTAAATAAATTGATTAATCGTGACCTCTAAATCAACTAATCAAACTCAACCTACTTAATCATTTACTTGACAGATATTTATTGCACGTCCATTAGGTGCCAGTAAACTCTGAAGATACAGGAATGAACAGAACAAACAAAAAACCCTGCCCTCAGGGAACTTACATCCTGGGTGGGGAAACGGAGTCAGAATGTATGTAAGTCACAAATAAATGAACAGGATAATTTCAGACAGTGATAAAATGAGTAATGTGACATAAAGTGATTGAGAGGAAACAGAGAAAAAGGAAAACTTAATTGAGACAGTCATTTAAATTAACATCTGGAGGCAAAGGAGGAAATAACCATGATGATCCAGGGGCAGAACTTTCCAGAAAAAAAGCTCTGCAAGCCCTAAGGTGGACTGAACTCACCTGTCCTATGCCTGGAAACCATGGAATAAGGAGAAGAGGAGCAGGTGAAGAGGCAGGAGGGGTGGGAAACGGCTTGATAGCCTTGGAAGGAACCTGAGTTTTATTTCTGTGGACACCACTTTGAGCTTCTAACACTGGTATTAATACACGAAAATCTCCCCTTATGCTTTCATAAACCGTCTACATTTTATCTCACTACCCTCTGGTACATCCATTTTAATCAGTATTTCACTTTAGATTTCAAAGCCATTTCTCTTCCCAGTATTTTTACAGGTTAGAAAAGTCTTTATCTGCATTTAGATGTACAGTTCAACTTCTCATTCAAAAATAAACTCTGAGGGCCCGGCCCAGTGACATAGTGGTTAAGTTCGTGTGCTCCAATTCCGTGGCCCGGGGTTCGCAGGTTCGGATCCGGGGCACAGACCTACGCATAGCTCATCAAGCCACGCTGCAGCAGGTGTCCCACATATAAAGTGGAGGAAGATGGGCACAGATGTTAGCCCAGGGCCAATCTTCCTCAGCAAAAAGAGGAGGATTGGCAACAGATGTTAGCTCAGGGCTAATCTTCCTCACCAAAAAATAATTAATTAATTACATAAATAAATAAACTTTGAAATATGTTCCAAAGTTACTTATTCTTTATTAAGAATAGAAAACAAATAATTAAATTCCAAATTGAAAAATAAATGGACATATTCCCTCTTTGTCTTGAAAAACTGTCACTTTCAAAATATAGATTATCCACCTTACAGACTACACACGGCTCACTTAAAAACATTTCCTGCTATATAAGAAAGGTCTTTTCTTTTTCTCTTCAAAAATCTGTTGTACTCAGGAAATGAAAAAGACTCCTTATATTGGCCTAAACTGTTAGAATACAAAAACCAATGTGTAGCAATAAATTATATGATCCTTTTCAAATTCAAGTACAAAAAAAATTCAAGTTTTAGTGTCGCTGTCCCCAAACTAAGAAAAAATCGATATATCCCCATTAAGAATTTAAAAACATTTTGTTTGTAAATTGTTTTTTAAAAATCATCAAAATGTTATTAGATCACTGTGCCCACTTTAAAAACTAAGATTAGTCACATATATACCCTTATAAGATAAAGCAGTTAAAAATCAAAATAATTAGGAGCGTTAGAGCTAAAATAAAATCTGGTCCCTTTTATTTTTTAACATGTGTCCAAACAAAACGCTTAGATGTAGAAATAATCAGATGCCACTCAGAACTCAGTATCAACTAGTGCCTAACACATAGTATATGCTTCATTAAGTATTATTTCTTGCATGAATAAATGAAATAATAAGTCATATTTAAACATTTTTGTTGTGCTACTAATGACAATGTTTTTACTAACAATGATTAATTTTAGACCATTGGGAAGTCATTCTCATAACCACGCACCTGGAAAAAACCTATTAGCACCATTACACAATTCTCAAATAAATTTAATTCTTTATTGTTTAAGGGCCATGAGCTTATATTTTACCTTATAGACAATTTCAATCATTCTAACTATAGTTATTTGCATAAAACATTAAAGTTTTGGTTATGGATAAGAGTAGAAACTCAGTTTTCAAGTACAATACCTGGTATTTAGTGACCATGTCTTCCAGCCCTTCAATTTTAGAATCCTGCAGGACTGAATACGTCTTAAAGGCCGTAAAGATGTCTACTATCTTGGCAAGGCGTCGGTGGAAAGTTTCAAATTTTCCAAAAATATACATCTCACTAAATTCAAATTGTTTTTCATTTGGATCTTGTTTAAGCTTTTGTTTTGTCTTATGAAAGCAGTGCTGGTATTCCTTACAATAAAAATCCAAAAATATAAGAAAGGGAACATAATAAAGATACCAACCTTATTCTCTTAAGTGAAGGTGATGTCAAACTTAGGATGGAATTCCAAGCCCGTTCACAGTTTCCTCCCTTAGTATCTACTCACCCATCAGCCTGGAATATCATCTTTTCCCATCCTCCAATCTAGCAAATTTCTAATTATTCATGATGCAACTCAAAGATGCAGCCTCTCCTTCTTGGTCCCACCACGTTAGTAACAGCCTCACTCTAAGTCCATCTCCCCATTTGTCTGTAAGAAGCTTAGGGAAAACTACCTCATTTTAGTCATCTTTGTATCCCTAGTACTTAGTGTGATGTCGGGACATAGTAGGCCCTCAAAGAAGTTAGAATAAGTGAATAAATTTTCTGGAAAGGCTTATTAATACTCAATTTTCTTAACAGTAAAGAATTACTGTTCTTTTGAGCAACAAATAATATGCTAACTGCTAAGTAATTTAAGATGCATTGGCAAAAAAAACATTAAAATAATGAAACATCATCTAAATATCTTATTAGGCTGACCCTTACCTGCTTAAGTTTAATTGCAGATAATATTTTTTCCACAACAACATCCTGTGGCTGGCTCCAGATAGAAGCAGTTCCATTGTTGGTAATATAAGCTTTACATGCAGATATCATCTGATTGGTCACCTGGAATTTTCCAGTAAAATGATGTTATGTACATAAAACAGCCATCAGTTATAAACTGGACTGAGGGGTCCTCTTCTACCTCTCCAGTGTGCACAGTCTGTGAACTCGAGCTTTGGGTTTATTTTTTTCTATGACAACTATGACCAAGCACTAACCCTTTTTTTTCTAGCTTTATTGAGGCATAATTGACAAATAAAAATTGTATATATTTAAGGTGTACAACGTGAGGATTTGATATACATGTACATAGTGAAATAATTACCATAATCAAGTCAACACATCCATCATCTCACAGTTACAATTTGTATGTGTGTATATTGAGAAGACTTAATATCTACCTTCTTAGCAACTTTCAAGTATACCGTACAGTACTATTAACTATAGTCGCCATACTGTACATTAGATTCCCAGAACTTATTCGTCTTATAATTGAAAGTTTGTACCCTTTCACCAACATCTCCCATTTCCCCCAAACCCAAGCCCTGGCAACCACCATTCTACCCTATGCTTCTATTCAACTTTTTTAGATTCCAAACATATATTGTCAAAATCATTTGTGAAATCACAGAGTTGGAAGCACCATGGAAAAATCAACAATTCAGGCCGCCTTGTTTATGAAGGATGAATGTCTTAACCACCAAGAAAAGATTCCGTTCCCTACCTAAAAGCTGTTGAATTTCCCCGATCTCTTTAGGTGGCTTGCTCTAACACTTCACTCACAGTTTCTAAGTGCCGTGTAAAGGTCTGTCCACCCTGATCATTTCATGCCACCATGATCTGTAGCAGAAACGTCCAAGGAGAAGGTGACAGAGAAAAGAGTAAAGCTAATGTACGTAACCTCTAATATTTTATTCATCTATCCAAACTTTAAAAAAAAACAGAATTTTCTTGGTGATATTTTAATAAATTAAAAGGAAAATTAAATGACTACTGTATGGAGATTGGATTGGTGGTTACCAGAGGGGAAGGGGGGAGGGTGGAGGGTGAAAGGGATAATTCGGTACATGTGTGTGGTGATGGGTTGTAATTAGTATTTTGGTGGTGAACATGATGTAGTCCATGCAGAAATAGAAGTACAATGATGTACACCTGAAATTTTTGCAATGTTATAAACCAATGTTACTGCAATAAAAAAAAAAAAAAACATGTGAAGTGCAAAAAAAAAAAAAAAAATGACTACTGTATGCATGGAATGATGTGATGGCTGGGATTTGCAGTGCAAAGGTCGGGAGTGTGAGTGAAACAAGATTGGCCATGCGTTGACAATTGCTGCATCTGGATGATATATACATGGGAGTTCAGTATACAATTCTCTTTCCTTTTGTACCTGCTTCACAATTTCCATAATGAAATGTTTTTGAAATTTAGGTAAATTGTAGTTTCACAATTTTGTTCACAAACAAGACTTGCAAACAATACGCATGAAACCTAGAGTAATAATGCATATTGACTTTTGAGACTTCTATGCAGGGAATATCCCTCACGACCCTAACATGTAGTTTTAAAGTATGAAGAATTTGGGAAAGGATCTAGAGGATTTCCCTCCTTTCTACTTGAACCTGAGAGCAGAAGGAAGTTTCCCATCGACCTCTCAAGGCTGGATCTTCCTATCATCAGGAACAATCATGCCTCCTACCGCATTAGTTATTCACAACACAAGTCCAGATGAGTTGAAAATGCCTCTATTTTAATACAACACTTAAAATTTTTGCTTGGTAACATATAAGTCATTTACTATTTAGAGACTGCTCAAAATGAGAAAAGCAACAGTGCTCACCATAAACACTTAGGAGTTAGGACATAAACTTTAAACATTGTTATGCTTTTTGGCAGAATCATTACAATTGCTTTATGGATTACTGGAACATTGCAAGTGGCTTTTATTTCCATGATTATTGTTCTAATAACACCAAGTAAACAACTATGGCATCAAATAAATTTGGAACAGTGGCATATAAAATATGGAGATAGCCAATAAAATATATTTTTTCTTAATTAAAATTTACCCAATAGGAATAAAATAACTTGCTAAATAACCTAGGAAAAGAAATTCCAAAAAGAATCTTTTTTCATTTTTATTATATAACACAATATTCATTATAATTATTATTTTGAGAAATAATGCTTCATGATTTGCTAGAATCAGCCTTTCACATAAACTTAATTCTATCTCTATTGAGAGATTAAGCTTTTTTTTTTTAATTGTAGGAAACATGGATATTGGAGTATGTTAATGTGGTAATTTTTAATTATCAAAAAATTGACCATTGGCAAAGAAATATAAGTGACCACGGACTCTACATCATGCACCTACCTTTACAAACAGAGACGTGATCTTCTCAGAGGTGTTATAGTGATGAGAGATACTATAGATCATTTTAATTGCATTGATAAGTGTAGGAATAGCATCAATCATGGATATCTGGAAAACACCACAAACGTTTTCAGGGAAACAAATATCAAATTCAGCAAAATTCTAAGGTCTAATCATTCCATCTTCATTAGAATAAAGTGTAGCTAAGAAATTTTTATTTAAATTTTTTAACTATTATCTAACATTTTACATAAATATATTTAAGGGTAATTTTATTTTTATTGTTTAGTCATATGCAGTTAATGCATGCAGTTAGTACAATGAATGGTTTCAATGCATTAGCTTTCTGTTAATGACAAGGAGGTTGTGTTAACAGTCAATTTTGTAATCAATAAAAGCAGGTACTTCTTAAAGTTAAAAGATTGAAAAAAAAAAAAACCAGCAATGACTCTTCCTAAAGTTCTTCAAGTGTAGTCCAGAATGTCAATTGCAATACTTAATGGAAAGTGGAATATGCAATAAATGTTTTTAAAATATAACATGATATATACATCTTCGATAGATAGACGATAGATAGATAGATAGATAGATAGATAGATAGATAGATAGATAGATAGATAGATAGATAGTAGACAGATAGATAGATACAAATAGATATATAGATGTGTGTATATACATATAATTTTCTTGAGAGTAAAAAGAAGTTTCTAAGACTTTCTCAACAGACCGTAAAATTTACAAACCAAAACTCCACCTCAATTCAGCTAGTATCAAAGGACCATCAGTAGACTAAGGGAGCAGAAATCTTTAACTCACAGGGTCATTGCTGTACAAGGGGTCACAGCACTTTTCAAGTGTGTACAAATATTTGACATTGTCCTTCGCTTCATTAGCTGCATCAGTGATTCGAATATCCGTCTCTCGCCAAGTCTAAGCACAATACAGGAAAGCAATTTTAATGCAATTATTAATAGAGGAACTTCCAAAATAACACCTGCTAAGAGTTACCACAAGTCCCTTGGGTCAGACTTGCAGTTTGTCCTGTGCATCTTGCATAAAACTGAATCCTGACAGGTAAAGTACATTGCCACACTAAAGAGCAATGTAAAATTTTTGACTAAATATTTAAAGGTTAACTCCTGCAGGCCTTCTCTTATAAAATCTATTCAATAACCAGGACAGAGTATCAAGAGGGCAGCACCTCCCTTTAAACCCACACCTTCTCTCCTCCACTGGCTACTGGATCCACTTTGCACCTCACTCCCATATTTTCTATCTTCCCTGTATTCTAACCTGAACTACCTTTCCCTATCACCCTATACTTTTGTTCATCCATTCATGTAGCAATTATTTATTAACTGATAACCATATGCCAGGACTGTGCTATGAGCCAGGAACTTCAAAATGGAAATATATCTAAAAGTGGGAGAAATAAAAGGAAATGATTTAACACAAGCCAACATGTTCAACTGACTTCATGGAAGTCCTACTGATAATATTTCTGAACTGTGGCACAATGAAATGATTACATCTCTTTGAGCAACGATATAAGGTAAATCCAAAGCACAGTTATTGAAACAAATTACTATTGATTTTTTAAATTATTTTCATAGATTGAAACATCCATGCAAACACTAATGTGTCTTTATGGCACCAATGCTAGGTGTGGTAGGCAGCCTCTACAATGGTCCCCAGTGATTACGAACTCCTAATATTCATGTCCTCGTGTCATCCTCTGCCCTTGATCGTGGGCTGAATCTAGCAATTCACCTCTAATAAACAGAATGTGAGAGAAGTGATGGAATGTCACTTCTGGGATTAGTTTACCAAAAGACCATGGCTTTTATGTTGGGTGCTGTCTTGCACTCTCTGACTTACTCCTTTTAAGAGAAGCCAGCTGCCATGTTGTGAGCTGCCCTATGAAGAGGTCCACGTGGTAAAGAATTGAAAGAAGCCTCCAGTCAACTGCCAGCAAGAAATCAGATCCTGCAACAACCACATGAACAACTTGGAAGCAGAGCCTGCCCCAGTTGAGTCTTCAGATGAGCCGACACCCCAACTGCAACCTCATGAGACACGTTGAGTCAGAAGCACCCAGCTAAGCTGCACCCAAATTCCTGACCCAAGACAGTGAGATAATAAATGTTTAAGTTGCTAAGTTTTGTAGTAATTTGTTACAGAGATATAAAACTAATATACTAGGGTTAAAAAAAAATAGGTAAGGTAAGTTTTCATTTTTACTACATCTAGTTGGTCTGAATTCATAATATATATAAAATCATGTTATCATGCTACATCTTAATTACATGCAATGCCCTCTAATAATACATACACATACACATACACCAGCCAACAAATATCTTTAATTCAAAGGCTATTTCCACAGTGTCCAAAATTATAAAAGGACAATATTATCCAATCTTAAAGATTTTTTCATAAAGGTATAATAACATTTTTCTGTTTCTAATTACTCTATGACATGAAAATACACCTACAGAATTTTCATTCCCATTTCATAGCACAAAAAGAAATGGCTGATAACCTTCAGAAGTTTCGACTTAGCAGCAGCGAGCACTGCCAACACAGCCTTCACATCTGGGCTTTTTAATTGATCCAAAAGGTAGTTAAATTTGGATAGTCTTTTTTTCCAGTGCTCCAACTCTGCTCGGGGGCCAAGGTCATCTGCTTCCTTCCGCAGCTGATTGTTTTCAGCAAGGACCTGTAAATGCACAGGAGAACCATGAACCATTGAGTAGAACTAGAGATATGAAAGTTATACATAAGCAAAAAATAAGGAAATAAGTAAATTATGCTATCTGAATAATGATGCTTCAAATGACAACCTTTTACTAACTTAACATGTATCCATTTTTAAAACTTCAACAAAAATGTAGTTGACTTCTAACTGTAAACTACTTACGTAAGGAGCTTGAATGAACTTTTGGAGGACCTGACCTCACCCTTGGCTATTCACTTACTGTATACCTTCAGAGCAAGAAAACCTTGGAAAGCTCCCATGCCTTAAGTTGGTTAATTTTCATTGTGCTTACTTTTTGATTAAACGTCCACCTTCACTTAAGACTTTTCTGAAAATACCTTTTTAAAGGTTAAGTCTCAAGCTTCCTTTTAGAGGACACACTGAGTTAGAAAACTCCATGTACTTCTACAGAGGTTCTCACCAAAGTAAATTATACCTTGAGAAAAAAATCGGCAATGTGCAGTCTTCTAGTTATATAAGTATATAAAGTCACTTACATTCACCTCTTAGAATTCTTACTATCTCTTAACTAATGACTATAAATTAAAACCATGTCGAACCTGTCAGCTTTTCAGGAACTTGTGGTAAAAATAGGCAAATGGGAATGGCATATGATATACCTTCTACCATTGGCTTGTTCAGTAATGTGGCATCTGAAACTGATGTTTGGTTTCGGAAAATTACCTGTTCGGTCTGTTTGATCCATACTTTCATATAACCTTCTATTTTTTCCAAAGTCTCAGGGTTATTAGCTAGAGTCAAGTAGTCTATTGGTTCCTTCAGGGTTTTCAGTTCAAATATGTCACACTTTTGAAGCTTCACCTAATTAAAATGAAAGTTAAATAAATTTAAGTTGATGCTTTTTTAAATACACATACACACACACACTCACATACACTTCTCATTGACCCCTCGGCTTAGAAGGATCTTAAGGGAATCCTCTAGACTAAACTACCCTCTCCCTGAAGAAAGATCCCTGAAAGCATAGTGGGATATAAAATGCCCAATCCTCCCTATGCATTGAGGACACCACTCAACAAGACTGATTCTGAGGTCAAATTTTGGGTAAAAAAAGAAGAATGAGTGAACTAGAGAGAGAGAAAGAGTCATAACATCACAAAATTTGGGAATTAATAGAGAACTTGGAAATTAAAGCACCAACTCATGAAACCAAAGAAAGTGGGGGAGCTTCTAGGAAATTGACTGAGAGGTGGGGTCATTTATAATCTACCACATTCTTTTTTGAAACTAACCAGAGAAAAAAACTCTCATGTCCTTATCCGATAACATTCATACAGTTAGCAAGTTCAATGGCAAACACACAGATTTTTTGGAGGGGGAGCGGGAGGAAGCAGGTAGGGACGGAGATGTGTTGAATTTTGACTTAACAAAGAAATCTGTTGTATTTTTAAACACACATAACACAAAATGGACCTTAATATTTGATAAGGACATTGTCCTGCCGGTAGAGTTGCACCTGGCACTGTGAATCTCTAAATTCAGATCTCAGGCCTGATCCCACTGTACCAACAACAGAGCTAGTATGTTTCTCTCAACTGGTTCAGAACCAGCAGGAAAGGGTATGGCTTTTTGTCACTCAAATGCCGACAGGGCCGACGAGCCACTTCATGAAGCCCGGCTCCTAAGGGCTTCTTGGTAAACCAAGGTAAAACCAAAGAGTGTGCTGGGAGATGTGGAAGGCGGAAGGTGCAGGCTGGGGAGCAGGGGGCGCCAGATGCTGGGTTCATACTCTGCCCCCTTCAAACCAGCAGAGAGAGGCCTGTGGGCTGAGGAATTGGCCCTGCTACCGGGGCCTGCCACAAGGGAACACTGCAGCACCTGGACGGCCCGCTCCAGGTTTCCTGTTTCCTTCACTTGGCTTCCTAATAAAGCCTTGCCAGCTCCGCCCTCTGATGGCCCCCAGTCCTGGTTCCCAAGCCCAGCCTTGCTCAGAAGCTCTATGTCTGCCCCATCCACATGGGGCTCAGAGGCACCGCTCTGTCCTCCCTGATCCTGGCCTTCCCACTCTGTGTTTTTCACTTTGCTGTGCTCTGACAGAGCTCCGAAAACCCACGGGGGCAACCACACACCCTATCCCCCATGCCTTTGCTCATGCTGCCCCCAGCCTAGAAGGACATCCCAGCACGCCTCCACCCCTGCCTCCCCCACGCTGCACCTTCCACCTGCCAGATCCAGAGGACTCCTTGGTTCTACAGGGGAGGGCTCTGGGCTTCATGAAGTGGCACAGCCTTCCTCCTGTGTGGGGATCCATCTCACTTTTTTTTTTTTTCGTGAGGAGGACTAGCCCTGAGCTAACATCTGATGCCAATCCTCCCCTTTTTTCTTGAGGAAGATTGGCCCTGGGATGACATCCATGCCAATCTTCCTCTACTTAATATGGGACGCCGCCACAGCATGGCCTAACAAGCGGTGCGTCAGTGCGCGCCTGGGACCCGAACCTGCAAACCCCGGGCCTCCGCAACGGAGCGTGCGCACTTAACTGCTGAGCCACCGGGCCAGCCCCCCACTTTTTTTGTAATACCTCTACTACAATATGAAGTGGAATCACATGACTGCACAGCTTTTTTAGGTGGAATAGCAATTTAATTTGGGTCAACTTGCATTTTAGTATGGCCTGCATCATAGTTAATAGCAAATATAACTCAGATGTTAACTGGAATCATCCTTCCCCTGTCTGGAAAAAATGATTCAACTCCTCCATTCCACATCTTTTAGAAAGCATAATGCCTCCCTCCTTCCCAATATCCCAATAGGTCCCAAAAGGTCTCAGTATCCCCTGGAGAGGGGTGAGTGCTACATTGTCACTGGTATCATGGGATCGATTTCTCTACCTCCCATACATGCCTGATCTGGGCTGTCATCTGTCATGGTTTCACACCCAGCACCCTCTACCCCAAGTAATCATTTACACAGGCTTATTGTAGATAGCACAAATTTTACAGAAGCTAAATCCCACACTTGCCAAATTTATTATTAAAGGCCCTTCGGTCACTACCTCAACCAAAGAACCAGACCCACTCTCTCCGGATATCAATTCCTCTGTGCTTCTCCCTTCTCTTCAGGATTTCCTCCATCTCTACCCACCATCCACCACCCACCATCCATCACACACACACACACACACACACACACACACACATACACACACACTCTCTCTCACTCTCTGGTTCCAAATCCCTTTCCTTCTAGAATGCAGAACAATGCCACAAGCATTTCATACTCCTCTCTTTTCAGTCAAACATCCGACATGACTGAGTAAATGCTCCATCATAGCCAACATTTCTTTGGAACCCCTACTGCATTAATCACTACAAACTATGGGAACTTAAATCTAGTCACCACCACATCTTGAGGGGGCAATAAAAATGCCCACAAAATTTTTTCAAGATTTGCAAGGTAGTGGAATTAAGACCATCCAAGAGAAGGATTACACACTTATATGTTGTCTTAGTTCACCATCTGATAATTTTTGAAGGAATAACTTATTCATTCTTACCTTCTCCTTCAAACTCTCCTGTGCGCCCGACAGGACACTCACAAAGCCTTCCAGAGAGCTCAAGAACTCCTGCTGAATGCTGGATGCTTCCTGAAGACCCTCGAGCTCACCCCAACCATGGCTCGTGGCCCTGAGAGCGGGAATGAAGATGTCGGATAGCAAACGTCTCATGCTATTGAGCAGGCCTCCATCTGCGGCGTCTAACATATTAAAGCTCACCTCCTGAAAAACAATTAGGAGATCCTTTATTATAAAAATTATCCTCAGTTGCAACATAGCTACTAAGTCATTTCTGAATGTTGTTAATTAGCCAAATATCCTATGGAAATAAATGAAGACCAATCAAATGAGGAAAGCAAAGGTTATTTTTTCAGAGCTTGCTATAGCAAGGGAGTCGGCCACCATCACAGAGGAGTGGGGAAGATTCAGAGCAGAAAACAGGGAAGGTGTGCCCTGGTTGGAGGCTGTTGGCATGGGGAAGCTGGAGACAGGCTAGCTAGAAAGGGGATATCCTGTGTGATTGGTTAGGGGTACACATTTGGGTTTCTCTGGTTGGTTCCAAGTTGGAAGTGGGGACAAAAATTAAGGAAGCTGTCAGTCATCAATCAAGTCCTGGCCCTTTTAGCCAATTGTTACAGAAATTATTGTTTAGCTTCCTAGCTGGCTTCCTGCAAGTCTGACATAGCAGGCTGGCTACCTGGGTTGTTTATCGTAGATAAGGAGGTTAGTTTCCCAGGTAGGTTGCTGCAGGTTGTTGGTCAAAGTTCTGTTTTTATATATGGTCTGGCCATTGTCCATTTGCATATTCAGTCTCTCAATCCAGAAAATTATTATTGTGACCCCTTGATTAAGACATAAGCTTTATACTATTCTAAATTGCAATCATCAAAATAAAAGCATGAAATAAATAGAACACAGGATGTTTACCAGTTTATTTGGGTGCAGATAATGCACCCACTGAGGGCAGGGGAGACTGGTACAAAAGCACTTTACTCTGAACAAAAAATAAAGTTATATATCCATTTTTATAAATGTTATTTTAAAGGTATGAAATTTGACATTAAGTAAATAACTTATGGGGAACTCTTTTTCAAAGGAAAGACCTCACTTGTTAAGTGCACACACACACATACACATATGCACGTACTTACATAAAATGTTATATCAATTTTTGTTAATTGAATATTAAGTCCTCTTACTCAACAGATTTAAAGGAAACGTCCTCTTAATTGCTTGCTTTAAATGCTTTTAAAAATACTCCTTTGAAAGTAGTTTTAAATATTTAATGAACACAATGGTTGTCTCCATAGGGAAGGATGTTTTTTGTAGAATTTATGTGGTTTTTGGTAATTCAGGGTAAAGGATTGCTCTTGCCCCTTACCCGATGGATGTTCTCAGAGGTGATAGCTCTGGAAGGGTCGGTCCTGATGAAGAACACACATACCCCCATAAGAGCAACATCTTTTCCCTCGGTCACGAACACCTTAGGCTTTTTAATCTTTCCAGAAATAGGATTTACTCCTCCTGGAGAGCCAAGTTGTCCTACAAATGCAAAAAAATTTTAGTTTCACAAATACTATGTACAGTCCACACGGTCGCCTCTTGGAATGAAGTTTTCTTGTTAAAATATTGTCATGTTGACTCGTCCGTGTGCTCTAGAAGGTCCACCACTAGGACAATCTCTAGCTTGAGCCCTAAGGGGGCCTAAAAGGATCTGTTTGATTTCAGACCGCAAGTTCATTTCAAAATTGTTGCTCTAGGAAGAAACAGGAATGGGAGGCACAGGAATAAGAGAGTTTGGTCCAGAGCAGATTCTTGCTGAACCTACAAAAGTCATCTCCAACTGCGCTGGGGCTTCATAGGGGCAGAAAGAGGGGGTGAGGGAGAAGACACCATCTATGGGCATGTGTTGTGTCTCAGGCCCTCTGCCTGGCAACTTGTCTACATTACTAAAACTCATCACAACCCTTAAGGCAGCTGTGACCTCTCCTAAGTCACCCAGCCAACAGGTGGCAGAGCCCAGATCAAAAACCAGCTCTGCCCACAGCACTCCAGCTCTCCGCCTCCCCCTGCTTCCCCTTCTCTGTCACAGTCTGGTTGGCTCTTCAGTATATTGCTGCGTTCAGGATCGTGCAGAGGCAGGACAGCACTGTGATGAATGGCGTGGGCTCTCGAGTCAGACTCCCAGGGCTTCAGTCTCAGGCTTCACTTCCTAGCCATGTGACCCTGCGCAAGTCACGTAATCTTTCTGTGCCAAGGCCCAGAGAATGCCAGGTGCCAGTCAAGCAAAAACTTCCCTGGCACCTCTTACCTCTTGTCCCTGCCCTGCTTCAAGCCTGACACAGTCAGAAACTGTGATTAACACGATGTGGGAAGGGGTAGGGATAAGTTTAGGAAGCAGAGGAGGGCCACATGCTCCTCTCTCCTTGCAAATATCCACCTTCAGAGGCTCCTGCTGTGAGGGAGGGGGTCGAAGAAAGAGGGAGGGCCAGGAGTGAAGAAGATTTCACATTAGATCAGCTAGTTTTGATCAACTGGATATTTTTAATTTCTGAATTGAGACTGTGCTTGTAATTTGAAGCAACCATAGGAATTTTTCTTATCTAAAAATATCCAGGGCCGGCCCGTGGCTTAGCGGTTAAGTGCACACGCTCCGCTGCTGGCGGCCCGGGTTCGGATCCCGGGCGCGCACCGACGCACCGCTTCTCCGGCCATGCTGAGGCCGCGTCCCACATACAGCAACTAGAAGGATGTGCAGCTATGACATACAACTATCTACTGGGGCTTTAAGGGGAAAAAAATAAATAAATAAAATCTTTAAAAAAAAAATAAAAATATCCAGAAAAGTCATGGGATTGTCTGAATTTTAATCCAAAGTCAGAAGAAAAGCTACTCCCACTGAAAAGGTTTAAAGGGAGAGTGGGAAACCAAAACAAACCTGCATTTATGTTTACATCCCATGAACCCTTTTGTTCAATGTAAGGTTTATACACAAAGGCCAACCTCACCCAGTGCCTAGTCCATGGGTGAACCCAACACTTCTTCTGAGCTTAAGGTTTTCAATTGGGGATGAAATTCAAAACTTCTTCTTGTTTTGATTTTTCACTTGAAATATAATGGATTTTCTAGTCACAAAATATCAGATGGATAATTTGGAGAAAATGCCAGTTATTTAGAGTATGCATATATAATTTCCTCAATATTTAAACAAAGAAGCATAGTCATACTATATGCCAACAGCAACAACTGTTTTCCCTTTCTTCAAAAAGGTCATGAAAGGATGGCATATGATATTTTAATATAATCATAATATATTTATGTCCCTACTTTGGCTTTAAAATTATATGAATCCATGTAAAAGTTGAATGGGACATGCTGGTTTAATCCATACGAAGATTTGTGAATTTTTCTTAAGTGAAAATAACTAAACCTGTCATTCAATATTACATATTTGAATCATAGTCAGTAGAAAACAAACATAATGTGATATTCAACTGGAAAACTCATGTTATGCTTATCGGCAACAATTCCAATGTTTCAAAGAAATAGTGCCTATATAGAGAAAAAACAGATGTCCACAAGAACATAACTGCATATGCTAGCACATAACTGCATAGAACGAACTAGCATGTAAGGAAAGGAAGTCTCAAAATGCAACCTACTTTATTATTCCCCAATTATGAGCACAGCCTGAAAAGAAAAACAAAACATCCCAAATAAAGTTAGAACAACCAGGCTAAATACCCACCATTATCTGTCCCCTTTGCTTGAGGTGAAAATAGAACCTGAAAATAGAACCTCACCCACCACACCTCACTGCTCCCCACCTCTCCCACCTCCCAAGGTGAAAGTTCTCACAGTGGCCTTCTGCTTCATGCCATCCTGGGATAAACCTTATAACAACATACGTCTGGGTTACGTCACATCAAATTTGGATACCTGTTTCTGCTACCTCCACGTCCTGATAGTAAAACATGAGGTGACGAAGACCTCCAGCAGCAAAAAGCTGATCAATTCTTTCAATCTGGGAAAAAGGAAAGGCAAGGTAATGACTCTGTTCTGAAGTAGAAACACGTTAATCAGCATTTACTATGATCTTTCTTATTCAGATAGGACTGCATCTAATAAACCGTATAGAAAGAATCTTTTTTTTAACATAAAAACCATGAAAGAATAAATGTTTCACCATAATGAAGATTCAGTTCAAAGAAGTAATTCAATTAATAATAAAAATATTTGCTACACACACACATTTGAAGAGATTGTCCCCCTTTTTTTTTTGCTAATTTCCTAAAGTGTTGAGCTGTTGAAAGCAGACATAAATATAGATGTTTCATTTTCACTCAATTGCAGATCAGAAAGAGAGAACAAACCTTTCAAAACCCAGTCTAACACACTGGAGATAATCACTATTAAAACGCAATAATCACTGAAAACTGCCATGAGAACACACATGACTGCAGAACACTCCATCAAATAGCAACCTGGAAGTCAGTCCCACCCATGAGGTTCCCTGCATCACTAGAAGTCTGTCAACTGGCCTGCTACCAATGCAAGTGCTTCTATAAATAGTTAATAGTACAGTTTTGAATTGAAATGAGAAGAAAAAGGATAAAATCTACACACCCATTAGGATGGCTACTCTCAAAAAAATAGAAAATAACAAATGTTGGCAAGGATGTGGAGAAATTGGAATGCTTGTGTACTGTTGGTGGGAATGTAAAATGGTGCAGCTACTGTGGAAAACAGTATGGTAATTCCTCAAAAAATTGAAAATAGAATTACTACATGATCCAGCTTACTTCCACTTCTGGGTATAGACTCAAAAGAATTGAAAGCAGGATCTCAGAAAGATATTTGTGCACCCATGTTCATAGGAGCATTATTCACAGTAACCAAAAGATGGAAGCAACCCAACTGTTCATCGACAGATGAATGGATTACAAAAATGCGGTATACACATATGATGGAATATTATTCAGCCTTAAAAAGGAGAGAAATTCCAACACGTTACAATATGAATGAAACTTGATGGCATTTTGCTAAGTGAAATAAGACAGTCACAAAAAGACAAATACTGTATGATTCCACTTATATGCTATATCTAAAGTAGTCAAATTCATAGAGACAGAATGTAGAGTGGTGGTTTCCACGGGCTGGGGGAAGGAGGAATGGAGAGTTGTTGTTTAATGGTATAGAGTTTCAGTTTTGCAAGATAAAAAGAGTTCTGAAGATCGGTTACACAACAATGTCAATGTACTTAACACTACTGAACCATACACTTAAAAATGATTAAGGTAGTAAATTTTATGTGGTGTGTATTTTACCACAATTTAAAATAAAATTTTTTAAAAGGATAAAATCTAGCCCGAAATTTAAGTTTGAAAATGAGCCTCCTTCAATTTCTACCATGTTATACGTAAAACCATCATATATAAGGAAAAGCGAGTTGCTCTGTTTTCTTTGTTACATTTCCTTGATCGAGGGTGCTATGGGGATGAGTAGGACGGACTCATCAAGACTAACTTCCAAGCCAAGAACGTGGTGAAGGAGATACTTCCATCACGGCCAGTATTGAAGCTCCGGGCCCTCTAGCCTTGCTTGCGAGCCTGAGCCAAGACGCTGTCTTTACAACCCCAGGTTCTGACATTCCTGGGTCCTGGATAGGACATAGCAGTTTGACTTGGGCTTCCTACAGTTCAGAAATTTTACTCATTTATTCCACCTGCATTACCCCAAATCCAGATGTCTGAATTGGAAAGTAGGGAAGAGTTAAGCATTTCACCTCTGGAACAATCTCTCCAAGGCTGAATCAGCTGTGTGACCCTCTCTCCCTCTATGCCTCCATTTTTGGGGGATAATATCACCTACCTCCTGATATTATGAAGATTAAACGGGATTATAGATGAAAATCACTTAGAACAGAGACTGACGCATGGTAAATAGTCAATAAATGTTAGCTGTGATGAAGAGGAAAAAGAGGAAGAAAAGGACATTTCTTCAACTCCTGATTGATTCATCCTGTAGTTTAACCATCTGACTGTTATTCACCCTTAATTGTTCCTCTGATTCCTACTAACCCCATGAGAGTGGCACGGTAGGAAGGAACAAAGCCAGCAGAGTGCTGGAGCTGGAGCTGGCTCATACTGGCTCATGACAGCCAACTGATCACAACTCTTCCCAACTTAGCATTTAGTGACACCATGTTGGTAATTTGGAATCAGCCATGACGGGAGTATTTACACCACAGAAACCAGCAAACACTCAAATTAGTGCCAGACCCTCTGTGCCCTCCATAATCCAGTCAGCAAGAACTCAAATGCATCGCACCTGATTCCCCTCAAGAATGGCATCCTCCACTTCAGTTTTGCTCAGGTCCACACAGGAAGCTACAATCGCAAATAAGTAGTCATGCCTACCATCCAAACGTGCCCGCTTGGCTTCCTTCTCTTCCTTCAGTCTTTGCTACAAGAAAGGAACAGAAATCTTATGAAGCAACTGCTATTCTCAAATGGATTCATTTTGTAATAATTTCATACTATCATTGCTTTTTCAAGTCTTGGGTATTCAGATAACAGACAGCTTAATGGTACTAGGTTTTTTTGTACTATCTTCTATTTTTATGAATAATGTTATTTCTATTATGAAAATAAGGTGTGCTCATTGTTTTGAAATTGCATAATACAGATAAGCCAAAAGAAGAAATAAAAATCATCTGCCATCCAGAAAGTATTACTGTTAACATTTTGTTCTAAATCTTTACAGACTTATTTCCATGCATACATAAGCATTCAATAGACACACAAGAAAAGAGATATCCATTTTGTAAACATTCCCTAAGCCACTAAAGTAATATTCTTCTACACTATCTCCTATCTTTATTGTTTGTCTACAGGTTCACATCTGGTCTTAAAATTAATTTCTGAATACCATTGCTCACTTTTTAAATGTTGATTGTTAATTACAATAATAAGGCATGTTCAATGTAACCAGTTAGAAGCCTATCTTTCCATATGTGCTTTGCTCAGACAAACATATGCAAACGTATAGAGATGTGTGTACATCTATATATCATACTATAAAAATTTTTCATGCATTTTCCCTTAATAATACATCACAGACTTCTTTCTAGTTTAATACGGACTATTCCAACCTATGTAATCGCTGCAAAATATTCACAATATGGACGTACCATAATTTATTCAGCCATTATACCATTGGTGAATATTCAACTTCCAATTCATTTCTTGAATTAAGTGTATTATCTTTAATGTCAACCAGTAGTTCCTACTAGGAAGAAAAAAAAAGGCCCCTCTGGATCCTTTCTTTTATTCAACAAACAGTTATTAAACCCCAAACATGTGCAAGCACTGTAGAGGCAAATGCAATCCAGTGACCTCAAAAGAGTTCACAGCCTGGTTGACAGGGTGTGAGCAGAAAAAGTAAATATGACAGGATGGCATTACGGTTGTTACAGGGGCATCAGATATAGCCAGGGACATTTATGGGTCTTCAGAGAAGAAGCCGAAAGAAGTATTCCCCACTCTAGCCTGGGGCTGAGGAGGGGTAGAGGTAGCAATACAGGCAAACTTTCAGGAAGAGGTGGCTTGAGCCTAGGGTTGAAGGAGAGTTGGCCACACTCTCCTGGGATGGGGTATTTCTGCGCATGTAAAGGCCAAGAGACATAAGAAAGCACAGCACATTCTGGAAACCACAAGGCAGCCAGGATGGCTGAACTAAAAAGGTCTAGAAAGACATGACCGGAAATGAGAAAGAAATCAGATCATAAAATAAATTGTGGACCACATCAGAAAGTTTAAACATTATCTGAAGTCCACGGCAGATCACTGATGAGTTTCAAATCAGGAGAGATGTTTAGTTGTCTGTGCCGCATCAAAAAATCAGTCATTCTGACAGTAGTGTGGAAAGTGGATTGGAGTGATGCAGGCCTGGAAGCAGGAAGGCCAATCTGGTGGGTCATGGTGGCATTCCCAGAGCCTAAGACAGACAAACAATTGGGAACGTGGATCTGGAGCTCAAGGAGAAATTGCATTGCAGATACAGATATAGACGGAGGTTCTCAATCCAGCACAATTGATGTTCTGGGCCAGATGATTCTTGCTGTGGGGGGCAGTGCTATGTACTGGAAGGTGTTTAGCAGCATCTTTGGTTTCTACTTTCTAGATGCCAGTAACTCCCCACCACTGAGTTGTGAGAATAAAAAATGTCTCCAGACACTGCCAAACGTCCCCTATAGGACAAAATCACCCCCTGCTGAGAACCATTGATATGATATAAAATAGGTATGATAGACATAGACGTAGCCAAGATAAAAACTACAATGTAAATTGTATCTTTGGAGGTCGTGCAGCACAGAATCTGCACAATTATGTAATCAGCTCTTTCATCCAGCAGGAGGTATGTACATACTAGTTATTCAATAAATACTTGTCAAATGAATGAGTAAATCAAAGTTTAAACCATGAATGTAAATATGATTTTTTAAGAAAGAAATGGAGAATGAAAAGACAAGAAGGTGAAGAACCTTGGGAAACACTAATATGCCAGCAACAAGGAGGGAAAGAAGAACAAATGGAGTGGGCTGAGGATGAGCGGGCAGCGAGATGAAAAGGGACCAGGAGGCAGCACCACCAATAAACCACGGAGAGTAGCCAATAGTGCTAATGCTATAGAGGACTGGTTGGGTCAATTAGGATATCCATAGCAATTGCGTTTATGAGATGGCTGTAGCATCCCACAGCTCCTTTGTAATGTGACTGTACCACTAACCTATCAAGAGATGGACTCTACTTCCCCTCCTCTTGAATTTGGTTGGTGCTGTGACCAGTTTTCACCAAGAGAATGTGGGGAGAAGTGAGACTGTAAAATTTCCTAGGCTACTCCTTAAGAGACCTTCAGCTTCTGCCTTTGCACTTGGGAGTCCTCCCTTGGAACCCAGCCATCATGTTGTGAGAATTCCAAGCCACATGGGGAGACCACATGGAGAACAACCAAGGCATTCTGGTCAACAGCCCCAGCTACATCCTAGCTGACACCCCAGCACCAATTCGCAAGCTATCTTGGACATTCCAACCTAGTCAAGCCTACAGATGATTGCAACCCAGCCAATGCCACATGAAACAGAACTGCCCAGCTGAGCCCAGTCACCCACCCAAGAGAGACAATAGGCAGTTGTTGCTGCTTTAAGCAATTAAGTTCTGGTACGGTTTGTTATGCAGCAGTAGATAGAATAATCCTTGTTAGAATAATTTCATTGGTTGGGCAGAAAGCAAATGAACGTAGATTTAAGAAAAAGATGATTGGGAAAAGAGAAACACAAAGATATCAAATATAAACTACTCTTTCCAGAAACTTGACTATAAAGGAAAGAGGTGTGGGACTAGTGGATAAAGAGGAATTTAGAGTCAAAGCAGAGTTTTTTAAGATACAAAATACTTCAGAAAAAGTAAACAGGAAAAAGTTAGAGATTTCAGAGTGATTGAAAGGCCGTCACTAGACCTATGCAATTTACATGCATTTTTCGGAGCCTGGAAGGACTGCTTGAGAGAAGAATTAGTTGGGGGTAGGGACGGAGGGAGGGTTTAAGGTTTAAAAAGAATAATCTACCTATATCCTTGCCATCTCTCTAAAAAGGAACTAACACAGGTCCCGACACAAAGTATACAGTCCATAAACGTCAAATAGAAGTAAATTTAAATGTCTTTTCAAATGTGGCTAAAATCAGGAAGGTGTCTGTTTTTTTGACTGTTTTCTACCTCCTTAGCAGGAAGGAATAAAAGGCTTTTCTCAAAGTGATCTCTGAGTTTGTACTAAATGTCTTCAGCAGCTTGAGAACACGGTGGCCACCGGGGAGCCCGGAACTGAGCAACAAAACGGGACGGCACATGCTGGGTGGCCGAAAAGAAAGAAAACAACCAGAAAGCCAGAAGAGTCAGGATGTAAAGCAATTGAAGGCTTCCAAAGAATACAGAAGCTTAAATACGATTCTGCCATGGCAACACATTACTCTGTGACCCGATTTTATAAGATTCCAAAAAGGAAAAATAAATATTCTAGCAGAGGAAAGGTGAGATTGGTCCCTAAAACAGAACACTAAATTTTTCTATTTTTATTTAAATATCCCAGAGGAAAAACACTTCCAGAAGCATATTATGTATACAAAGCAAATTATCAGTGTGTGTTTAAAGGAAGCACTTTCAGAGTTATATTAAAAGGCATGTTAAGCTTTGAATACATTCTTACGTAAACTGATTGTTCTGTCTCCAAATGACAAGTAATATGAAGTAAACCCCAGTGCCCTGTAAACAAAAGACCACAATGTTGATCAATCTCAACTTTCATTGCCTTATACTAAGGTATCCTCCTACAATGAGGGACTTTCTTTTTTAAAGACCACAAAATGTCAATAACGTCAAACAAATATTTAGTCATCAGATCAGGCATTGTCCGTCCATAAACTGAAACCTGCAGCTTTCTGGCTGCTAAGGAACTGCAGCAACAAGCAGTCAGATGACTAGCTGTCCGGAGGTGGCTTATCCTGTTGGCCTTTGAAACATTTAGGACACCTGGAGAGTGAGGGCAGGGTGGGATTAAGAGGGTGAGAAGGAAACGATGGAATTTTTTTGGAGTCACATTAAAATTGTTCTGCATTGCATGAGCAAGCACCAACTGATGGGGGCAGGGAGGATGGCCAGAAACCTAGTCAATGTCCAAGGAAATCCAGAACAGTATTAAAACACTTCTGCAATTTGGTGACAGGGTATGTTGCGCTGGACTAGGTGACAGCTAAGCTCCATTCCTTCTCTAACATTTGGGCTACTTCTCATTGGTTCAAAAGTTAATACAGACCACAGACTTGAGATTTTAAAATACAAATCCCAATCAAGACCCAATGCCGTGTACTTTCAAAATCAAGCTCAGTGACTTTTTCTCATGACAAACCCATCCATCTAAAATTTTTAATATACTAACCTTTGCCTTTAACTCTGTAGAACCCAAGCCCAAGTCTACATGGTTGTATATGTAAACTGTGTATGAACTACACACACTTCATTTTGGCTCTAGGTTGATAATCCCCAACAATGTGAGAGACCTTACCCTCGTCTGTAAAATGGAGAGAAAAATCCAAACTTGAAAGGTATTTGTGAAGACTAAATTGGGTGCGGTCTTGATAAGTTAATCAGCACTTGAATTTAAATGGCATGACCTAGGCTTTGACCCTGGTTATCAAAATTTAGGGGACATAAAACCTTTTTATAACGATTTTTTAAATGTGCAAATGTTTAAGCTCCCTCTACCCTTAGAAAGCCCGGCCCTGCTGGCAGGCTTGTCTCTCATCCAGGCCCACCCCACTGACGTCACTGGCAGCCAGAAATGGATGGAGGATGGAGCCGTCAGGTCTAGGAGCCCCTCTGGGGCTGAGCAGGGACACCCTTTTCC